TGGGCATTTCTTTTTTTTAAAATATGATCAATGGCATGTATTTTTCTGTCTTCAGTCTTGAAAACAACTAAACTGCTTAAGTATAATGTCTTAAGGTTTGAACTTGCTGTGTGGCATGTAGACTACAGATGAGACATTTAATGTCAAGCAAATTTATTTAACACTAAACAAACCCAAAACAACCCTCTGAAAGAGCATCTTACACTAAAATGTATCATATGCATTTTAAAAGTAGGGTTACTTATGATCTTCAGAATATAGGAATAAAATGCAATATACAGGTTGTAACCTTTTGTACCACAAAAGAGACACCACAACTTTTTAATTTTCACTTGYATGCTTAAGTTGGGGGTTTTGAAAGGTAGAAACCTTCAAGTTTGTTAGTAAGAAATTAATAAGTAACTGGTGTTTTCTTTGTGGAGAAGAAACAATTGGCAGACTAATTTTGTATTTGTGTTGTACGTTAAAGAAATAGAGTGATCCTCACTCTGAGCACTGTTGAACTAAGAACAGTACCTGAATTGACTGGAAGGTTGGGTTTTGGGGTTGAGAAATGTCAGGAATGTTAGATGCTGAAAACTGCCCATGAAACTAGTGTATAGGAAGGAGAAAGAATTTAATAYTCAGGAATAACAGAATGACGATATACCCTTCTCTGGAGCCAGCTGTTGTTTTTACTGTTTGAATGTTTCAGATGTTGGCTTCATAATTTGTTTAAAATGTTTTCTAATGAGTAGTGGATGGTATTTTCTTTGAAATGTCAGAAAATTAAACAGGCCAAAGTATTCATAAAGTTTAAGGGCCCAAATCGTTGCGGCTGGAACCKATTTCAGTATCTCTATATAGATCATCTTTAATTGTATGCTCTTTATAAGATTAAAAAAATGCTGAGTTTGCTGCAGTTTCTTAGGTATTTTTTTTGTCTGGGTCAGATTATTGAGTTTTTAATACAGTTTTGTTTCTGATTACCCTTAGTTTCTGAGAAGACTGAGTAGGGGAAAAAAGCTTTGCTTTTTTACAAATGGTTGTCTATCCAAGGCAGTAATGGCTTGGAACATTAAAGACAACTTTCATTGATGTTGTCTCATAGCTTTGTGTGTAATTGTCAATACAAATTAATTCTGATGTATATAGTATTTGGAATTTTTCAGTATTCTCGGTTATGAATTCACATTATGTGCTCCCTTTGGTATGTCTATTAAACCCTAGACCAGTTGCATTCGTTTTAGTTGAAAAGGTTTCTAGCAAAACTTGTTCAGCATCATAAGATCAAATTTCGTTTGACTATCAAAATCAAAATATGAAAAGCATTGGGGAGGGGGATTGTTTTGGTTTTTTTTTTTGTAGAAGCACTCAACAAATCATTGAAATCGTTCAACGTGCTACCTGTAAAATGCTGAAGTAGTTGACCTGGATTTAAAGAAGATGTGGACTTGACAGAAATGTAGGATGACTTTCATATTAAAGGGGTAAAACATCCTTTATTAATGTGACTGTTAGGTATGTCCTGATTCACTTCATTCAAAGTGTGAAGCTGGAGAGACTGGTATTTGATACTGCAAGGGAATACTGCTGAAGAAACTTCCAAAACCTGACGTTTGAAAGTTCAGTATGAACCAAAGCTCCTTAGGCTTCTAGCACAATGCTGTCCTCTGGTGGAACAGTGTTGCATTAAAAGAGCATTTTACACTGAATGGAAGGTTTTTAATCAGACGTGGTCTATGTTATGTAGTATGTATTAGCACTTGTATAGCTGTAACAAARTAGAACAAAATTGGAGGACACCTCCAGTATCATCTATAATGTAATGTAATAGAAACTGAAATGGGTATTTCTTACTCTTACCATTCCAAGCCAATGTTTTCTATAAGGTGAGTCAAAAGTTTTCATTGAAAAGCAAGTTATATATGATTTTATTCTATGATTCTCTTAAAAGTCAATGGTAGCAGTTCTCGCAAGTCAGAAATGTATCTAAACAGTAATTAGACATTGTCTATGCTCTTCTTTTGGTTGATTCTGTGCTTTTCCATATTTTAAAGTGAACCTTTCCAGACTGTGGGTTGTTTGTTTTTTTTTTCCTCAAAACCAGTGATTTATATGGATGTATCCTGTGTTATTTGTCAGTCTTGGATCATATACTTGGATCATATACTTGGAAATGTAAGGGAAATACTGCATAGACACATACTGAAAGGCATGCCGTGCTAAATAAAATATGTTATATTTGAGTGTTTGATGTTTGTACAGAGTGAACTTTTGGAATTTCAGTTAATGTAAAGATTGAAGTGTAAAAGATGAAAATCGAAAGCTTTTAGTATAGTAGAAAGGATAAGGTGGGAAGAAATTACTTGGTTATTTCAGTTTCTTTATAGCATGCTGGGTAGGTAGTTGAGATTTTGGCAGCCGAGTAATAGGCTTGAAGAGGAACAGGAAGAATTGTCAGGCCTGACTTTGCTCAGATGGTTACAAAAAGGGAAAAATAAGTGATATAATTTCTGAAAAAGAGATCTGCTGGATTCAAGGGAAGGCGTGGGAATTTAAGCACATGTTCAACTCCTAAATTTCAATTTAATAATTTTCTTTTTTTTGCAGTTTTCATTCTCTGTTACAGATAAGGATATAAGAGTAACCTGGTATATCCCTTGCTGCCAGCCTGCTCCTCAAAGGGGAGGGTATGGTAGTTGTGGCAAAACACCAACTTTGAGAGATATAGAAAGAACACTGTCTATAGAATTGCTATTCTCTTGGTCTGATTTCACCAGCCATAGTGATGTGTTATGCTAGTGTTAGATTTTCTGTTTGAATTCGATGGTAGACTGTCTAATAATAGGTCACAAGTGGCAAAGTTAATCTGTTATTTGAAGACGTGGTAGATTCTCACTGCAAATTCTCTGAAGTTTTAAATCCCAACATTGTTGTAACGTATGTTTATGGCTGAATTTCCCCGAGGTTAATGCCRCATAGTATATGGAGGTTGCAGTTTGGAATAATGTGGAGAAGTACTGGCTAGAAGAAAACATGTAAATGAGAGCTTCTTAAAAATGTCGGTCTTCAAGTAGGAATKATGTAAATGTTTGAGAGAATGCGTGATGGGAGAAGTTTGTTTCAAAGAGGCTTACATCTGCATTAAATCAGTTGTTCTGACCTTAAACGAAAAGAGTGAGAAAAACATTACTTTGTGGAGAAGCATGAGTTAGTACTTCATTTGGAAAGCTGTTAGTGTCTGACATAGATTCTAGGTTAAACTAGTCTGCTTATTTCAGTGTGACATCTGACTTGCTGATCGACTGTTTTCTAGAAAGTTTAGTAGGAAACAAAAAGACTTGCAGTGCTGCCAGTAGCTGCTAAGTGTTGTGTGTACAGCATGCATTGTTGGGGAGATCTGTGATGCATAGGTAGAATTTTGTGGGTCTCTATGTGGGAGGAATAAAGCAAACAACCAACTGAAGCAGTTCATTCAGTCTGCAGAGTTAGCAAGTAAGTGTTCTTAGAAGTTAGGTCTCTTTTAGTGTCCAAATCACGACATTATTAAAAATCCTTCAGAGTTTATGAATGAAACTTCAGAGAAAAGAAAGTTAAGTGAAAAAGACCCTTTTAAATTTTTTTTATTTTATTTTTTAAGCCAACCAAACCAACTGTGAACGTGGTAACATAGCCATCCTTAAAATATAGTTCTTTGAGGCTATTGACTAAGATGCTYGAGGTATTTTCTTCCAATATACTATTCCATGCTGGGTGATGCTTGCAGAACAGATGCTTAATGAGGTGAATAAAAAAACTCCTTCAATATTCACRTAAGCACCATGCTTAGATATTAGAAGATATTACTGCCTTAAGCTGTCCGAGTAGGTGAAGAAACTGAAGGCAAAAGTGATAAAATAATTTTGCTCACTGTTCATCTAAATGTACTGGTGCAATTTGTTGAGCAAGTAAGAGAGATTCAAAAGAAATGCTTATTGATGTGTTTCTGAATTACTTGTGGTGATGCTTCTGTTCAGATGCTCTGGAATGGAATAGTGGAAAAAAATAGCAAAAAAAAAAAAGTCTCATATCAGTCCTCTGACAACTAGGCTTAAAAAGAAAWGGGAATATGGTGCATGTGAGTATTTTGTTCTGGCAGTTTGCTCTAAAATCGTGTGTGCTTGTGCCAAAGTATGAAGAAGAAATCTTAACTGATGCTAAAACAGGAGGCGTTGATTGAAATCCTACTTTGGTTGTACACACTAGTTTCTTTCGTGAAGTTCCTTAATTTGCATCTGCAATTGAAAGAAGTTTGTGTTAGCCTTCACAGGTTACAAGACAGTGTCACTCTTACGCACTTAACTAGGCAACCCAAAGAGAACTGAAACCATGCAGGGAAAAATGAAAACTTCTTCAATCTGTGAAGCCTTTCTCAGACATACCTGCAGTATATCTACTTTACATTGCAARGAATGAACCGAAGGGAGAAATAGAATGGAAAGAACTGATGCAGCCTAAGTTTAAAAAACATGGGAAAAGGTATTAATTTCTAACCCACTCGAAATGTCAGGGATGGCTGTGGTGTTACTCGGAATTAGAATACTAGGAAGTGTTGAAGTAAAGGCTGGAAAGCTAGTACATTTGCCAGTGGTTGATTTGGTTGTTATTTTTCTTTTCACTTGATCAAGAGTTATACAACTTTTAATAGTGGCATGCTTCCTGACTGAACACTCCAAAYACCGGCCAAAACTAAGACGTAAAGGTTTCTGTAGGAGCGTGCCACCAAAAAGCTTTCATAACTTAACCTGTTATTATTTCAGGTACTTGAGTTTGCTTTACTTCAAGAATTCCGGATTCTAATTTTGGGAGAGTGGTGTCTTTTAAAGAAACAAATGCATTTAAAAATCAAGTCTTGTGTTTGCTGCACATGTGAGACATGGTTGGCTCTTTTTAGTTATTGAGAGGCAATAGCAACCAATTTTCCTTGTAAAAAATACATGCATTTGTTGCTGTCTTAAAGTAATTTTATTTGTTTACAGGTGTCAGCTGTGATGCATGTTTAAAAGGAAATTTTCGAGGTCGCCGATACAAGTGTTTAATTTGCTACGATTACGATCTGTGTGCAACTTGTTATGAAAGTGGTGCAACGACAACAAGGCATACAACTGACCATCCAATGCAGTGCATACTAACAAGAGTAGATTTTGGTAAGTGATAATTTCAAACTCCAGTAATTTTTTGCAATATTATGTCTACAAACATAATGCTGATTTTCATGTTTCTACTTACTAATCACTTCCCCCACTCATGCACGGGAAATAAGGACCAAGTTCTTGTGTTCTAATAAGCAGGCATGGTTTTTTTGGCAGAAGGATTGATTTATGTATTTTTTAASTGCTGCATATGTATTTCTGTTTTTGTTATCTTGGTCTGATAACAGCAGATTGTTAGACTAATAAATATACTTAGTAATAGTAACTACTGTTAAAACTGCCACAGTCTACAGGCAGAAAGCTCCTGGTGAGATTTTGTAGGAGGTTTTTTGATTGGTGGCTTATGTGAGACTGTAAGTACAGGTGCATTGTGTATCTCTCTTYGGAATTCCTTTGTAGATCTACTAATCTAAGAATTGTTTCTAACTGTAAAGCCCTGTCAATATTTAAAATAAATAATAATTTGTCTTGTGTCCTTTCTAGTTTGTTATTTCTGTTGCATCATAGTTGAAATAAGCTCTAACTTGTTAGAAATGATTTTGTGACAATCCACTGCTCTAGGATGTTGCTGATGCTGGACTTGTATTTTCTTTTGATGTCAAACACATGGGACCAGGATTTCAGTATTTTTTCCTAGTGATTCCAGCTGTAGTCTTAATTTTTTGAATCCTTTAAATATGATAATCTCTCAGAAGTGGAAGTCCTATACTTCTTTACCTTTCTGATTAAAATAGAAGTAAAATTTATATTTCATTGGTTTAAAGATAAGAGAATAGCTATTTGTGAAAACATACAGTTTCTTAAAACAACCTTTATCTGAAATCATCTTTAATTTTCTTTGAATTCTAAGGGCTCCTCTTGCCCTGAGACTGCCTGGTCATGACTTCAGAAATCCAGACCATGGGAGTCCATAATTTGAAAGGAGATAATGTAGTGCATTATCAAAAATATGTGCCCCCATTTTAACTTACATGTTTCTTCTCAGTATTTTTTTTTTAATTTTCCCTTTGTGTACAGTATTGGTGATTGAGGTCACTGTTTGAAATGTACAGTTGTAACTTCTTAGCTTGTTAGCAAGAGTTGTTTTTGGATATTAAAYATGGGTTAAAAGGACAGCATTGCTGTAAGTTCTAAATGCTCATCATGCGAGTAAGAAGAATGAAGCATGCTAATATTAAATGTCAAATTTTTCAGTGTACTGGAATGATAACTTGTTCTAAACCATACTWCTTTTAAAAATACCTTTAATCAGAAACTAGGACTAAGAGTTACATTTTGCTTCTTGCAACTTGGGTACTTTTGAAAGTCTTTGATAAATGTATATTTTGGCTTAATGCCTTTTATGTGTTTGTGTAGTAGAGACGAGACACAGAGGGTTTATTTCTTAATATGTAAGTATGCTTGAAAAATGCAGATGGTGAGGGGGAAGAAGGTTCACAGTGAAGTATTGAGATGGCCAATAGAATTCGAAGGGCARCTTCTCTATTGCTTCATGTTTAATGCTGTTTGTTCTGTAAATGAGAGTAACAAAACAATGTCTATAAATTTCATATGGCTTGATATGCAAGTGTTGCTCCCACAGAACTGGTAAAAGGAAGGAAAATACTGCAGCTCAGCTCTGCAGAAAAACTCCTGGTTTGATTAATTCTGCAGAGCAAGAATATTACAATACCAGATCGTGAGCCACCAAACATGTGCACTGAATTGCTACTGACTGTGTAAGCTTATACAATGGAGAATGAATTGGGAAAATTTATAAATACTACTTAGAGTTCAGGAATCTGCGACATCATTCCTAACGTGTTTTGATTTTAAGAGAGTTCCCTGTAGAATGCACATAAAGGTATGTACCTTACAGTGTKGTATGGATGCTTAAAGAAACCGGTGACTTTCTAAAGGACATATGTGTGCCTCATGTGACTTTGAGGAATGTGCAAAAAATTAGGAGCTAAGGAATGTTAAAATTTACTTGGAAAATCAATAATGAGTGGTAGAAGTAGTCTAAAATTATCTGCCTCAGGGTTGGGATAACTCTGTTAGTGGATATTAAAAATCAGTAAGGTTAGATATTAATGGCTGAGAAGAAAATCTCAAGGGTAAAATTAGCAACATCAAACTAAGTGGTATTTTTTTGGTTTGTCCCCAGCCAGCTATCAAGCCCCACACAGCCACTTGTTCATTCCCCCACCAGCGGAATCAGGGAGACAATTGAAAGGGTAAAAGTTGGAAAATTCTTGGCTTGAGATAGAGACAGTTTAATAGGGAAAGCAAAAATGSTGCACATGAGGAAAGCAATACAAGGAGTTCATTCACGACTTCCCATGGGCAGGCAGGTGTTCAGTCATCTCTGAAAAGCAGGGCCCCATCACACRTGACAGTTGCTTGGGAAGACACAACATCACTCCAAACATCCCCCTTTCCTCCTTCATTCCCCCTTCATATACTCTGTATCGTAGRGTGTGTTTATATCTATTGCATGGTGTTATGTGGTCCAGCATCTCTCTTTGGTCAGTTGGGGTCACCTGTACTGGCTGTGTCTCCTCCCAGCTTCCCATGARCCCCCAAATTCCTCATGATCATGGCAGTACAAAAAGCAGAAGAGGCTTTGGCTCTGTGTAAGCCCTGCTCAGCAATAACAAAAACATCTTGATGTTACTGGGCCTATGTTCAATACAAATCTAAAACATGTCCCCATACTTGAGATTGTAAAGACAATTAACTCTGCCGCAGCTGAAAGCAGCACTGCAATGGAAGTAAGGAAATCTTCAGTCACTTCCTGGTGATGTGGGAAGTCAAATGAAAGGGGAATGTTTCTAATCTATGACAGCATAAGTAGGGAATTTTCTTAAGGAAGACGTCACAAAAACACAAACKGGAAGGCTGTTAGTGTAGCTAGGTGTGTGAATTGTAGTTTACTTGGCTGTTGACAAACTTCAGTACTGTTATATGTAGACCAGTTTTTTTCAAAGGTATGAAAATGTTTTAATGGCAGTAATCTTACAGTTTTTACTTATGGTTTGGAGGAAATTTGACAGCTAGTGAAAAATGAGTATTTTATCAATGAAAAGAAAGATGAGTGGGGAATCCTTCCACTRCAAAACTGATGCAGGTGAGGCAGAGGAGGGCAGGGGAAGTCACGGTCATTTTTCTGATTTTCAAAGTGCATGTAATGATCAGCGAGTCATTTGTCCAAAATCCRCCTGCTACTGATGAAAAGAGCCCACTACCATTCTGGCCAGCCCTGTCTAGATCCAGGTGTCTGAAGATCACTTAAGTACTCTTCCTGAAGCTACAACCAAGTTGTTTGTGGCGGACAGCTGACCACATGGATGATCCTTTCAGCACAGAAAAAGTCACATATTGTTTATTTCTGTGAAAGTAACAATTAGTTTTTAGAGTTCCTAGGTRCTGTAATAATGTTTCAGAATGTACTGGAAGAAGATGGATTTTTTTAGGTACTGTGAAAGGGCTTTTGTTCTGAACTTGACACATTTTATTTTCTTTCCCTGAGACTCAGGCTACTGTAGGAGCCAGTATGAGAACACTGGAAACAAGTGAAAAGCCCTGTGTTTTCTGCCTGGGCATATTTGCATTTGCACCATCTGGCTGCCATATTTGTTTTTCAGGACTCAGCATATGACCCAGYATTAATTTTGAAGGGAGATGGGATCCAGAACAATGGCAGTCCTGTTGTTCCTCACTCCCCACAAGAGATACTGGAAAAGATGCTTTAATACACAGCAAGAGTGATATGCTACTGTAAGAGGGACAGGGCTTAAAATAAAGTATGAAGTCTCATAAGTAATGGCAAGTGGCCTTTAAAGCACAAATCCAGTTAGTTTATTTCAGCGAGGTCAAGGAGTAGAATTGTAATAGGCCTGTGTAAAGAACAGGAATGTGCTTGCCAGGCAGTCATTATGCTTTTGTGCTCTTGTAGGCAATTTGTCAGGACAATGGAGAAGTTCAGAGCAATTTTCCTAGTTTTCTTTCTCTTTTCTTTCTTTCTTTTCTTTTTCTTAAAAAGCATTTTAAGCTATTAGGATTCTAAGCTATTAGGATTCTAAGCTGTTAGGGTCTGAGCATGTGGCTTTTTCATTACCATGTCATTTTAAAGTGGTTATACTGACAGAGAAGGTGATAGAAATTGTTAGTAGAATTCTCTGCCAAAATCATGTTGTGTTTCTTTCAGCAAAGTACAGAACCTAACTTGGTTCTGAAGTTGCCTTCACGTGTCAGCTGTGGTGCTTGTTTGACAGAAGATCCTGCAACCTTTTGTGCCCAATTCTGAGGCAGAGGGAACTGATTAAATAATGGGTACTTTGATAATATGTAGTGTGAAATTTATTTGATTCACCAGAATTCAGCTTGAGACTTGTGGATTTTTGGTTTGGTTTTTTTTTTTTTTTTTACCCTCTAGAACAAGATGTGTTTACTAAATGTGTATTATGTAAAGTCTGAGCATCATAGCTTGTTTGGAGCAGGGCTCTGTGGCAGCTTTGAGGGTAACACTGTGTTGAATAATACGGCTGCTTAGTGATACAAGAATATATATACTTTTTGTTAAGCCACCATTTGGTTTCTTTGAACATTGCAAAAAATCAAATCAGTATACTACAACTTGMGTCATTCCAACACTTTTATCTGTATGTATATATCAGTTTGAAACTATACTATCTATGTAAAAAAAAAAGGTGAAACTAAAATTCCTTACTACTATGTACCCTTGTAAAGAATTATGTCTTAACAAAAAACACAAGCTGATGGAAARTGTAGTCCAGAATCAGATATCTCATTGCAGGATTAATATTTATCCCAGGAATTCTGTGATACTTCAAATTTGTCACTAACCTCCTACCAATTTTAAGAATGTGCTAGTTAAATATTAAGTATACAAATAACTTTTGGAGCTGTAGATGGATAAAAAAGCAAAACTGCTCAGATTTTTGGTTGCATTATGTCATTTACTTTGAGTTTTTTCTTTGAGTTTTTTTCCCCTCCAAAGGAAAAGCTTTAATATCTAAACCGTGCTTGAAAACTTCATAAACTACCACTCATCCTCATCAAACAATGTTCTGATCCTTCTACTCCTTTGTATTCTTCCCCTTATTGATAAGGAGTATGGGTTACTTACCTTATTAAAAGGAAGTGATTGAGTCTGTTTTTTCTTTTTATTGAGTAACATTGTCTTCTTGGAAATTTTGAATAGAGGGCTTTGGATGTCCAGAGGAGTTTGAAGAATTATGGACTCCTGCTTTTGTCTTTGAAATGAACCAAAATTTTATTATCTGAAAGATTTCTTTGTGGTCAGAAGGGATAATTCTTTGGTCATGAGCACATTGCTTTCTAGACTGATAAATTTATAAATGAATACAGTAACACAATTGTAGATTGCTTCACTTCTGCAGCCATGGAGGCATGGTGTTTTAATTTCTTCTCATATTACCTCTAATTCTTAGTAGCTTCATTAACAAATCAACCCTGGTAGTCARGAACATGACTGGTCATAGATGTTAGGATTTTTTTATGTGCTTGTAAAAACAAAACAGATGGAGAAATACCCATTCAGTACCTTCAGTGCTAAAAACAGACACAAAGATTCATTATATCACTTGATTACCARCCTCTTTTTTGTTTTAGCATAGGTTTTAATTTCCAGGAAAATTTAGCTTGTGATCTGTATTTCACATTAGAAAAGAGATTTTGATTGTAGGAGGTGGAGAGAGATTGAAGTTGAGGAGGAAAAAAGAAGGAAGGTATAAACTTACAGAGTAAAAATACCTGGATTTGCCAGCTTTAACTTGTACRCATTATTAATTTTTTTTTCCCAGAGGAAGGCATATTTATTTGGTATGTGTATGTATGTTTAATGTATATTATAAGAAAGATGTGGAAGTATATATGGGTGGGAGAACATGCCAGAGGTATAATCAGGAAACTRCAAAGAACTCAGAAAAATTTTTAGTGAATAGATGTTTTGGTTTTTATTCTTTGAAAACAAGGAACAGCACAGGATTTGACAGTCTTGTCAAACCTCCCCCTCTGTGATAGAACTATGTGTACTGCTAAAATTCTTGACATCTGGATTGAGCTAGCAGTGTATCTAGGGAAAAGATACTTCTGAGTGCATGCTCATCTATTTACAGCCCTCTTCAGATGGGTTGTGGCCTGTGCCCTTTGCTCAGCTGTGAAGTTGGAGTTGGTWCTGTTGCCTTACTTGGAAGTTCATTCATTCTTACTGATTTTTAGAGATAGAGGTTTTTAGACCATCTGATATTTAAGAGGGTTTTTTTTTTTTTTTTGGTTGGTTTATTTTTTGAGGGTTTTTTTAATATTGATGTGAATGAGGAGCTTACATTTCCTGTAAAACACAAAATGAGTGTAGAGAGTGAGAGAGAAAATCATTCTTTTCTTGCATGGTTTGATAAATTTTAATTTTAGGTTTGGGAAGTTTCTGTGTTAGCAAAAGCACATACTTTTCATCAATGGTACAAAAGTGCTCACATTCAACACACCTAAAAGTTGCAGCCAGTATATAACATATTCAGATTAATTTTTCACTATCAAACTTTTATGTTATATATTTGAGATATTTCCAAAATTACTTATTGCAAAATAGTGGTTCAACTATGGCACAAATGACTGGCACCTGGTATCACTGAGACCTTCTAAATTTTTATCTAAATTTGAGATATTGTCAAGAGTTCAGCTTCTGAAATGTCATCTTATGATTGAAAAATACTTTAGTTGATGACCCTGTATATAGGATAAAAGCGGTGGAAAAATGAAATTTGGCAATATTAGCAGCATCATGATGGAAGTCTCTGCTCCTAGTGAATATTAAAAAAACTAAGTTATGTGTGCTGATGAAGATGAAATGTTGTCTCTGGTATTTTTCATCAGGAACTGAAGCCCTCCTGAATATAGCCGTTTCAATGAAAAAAAACAGGTTAATTTAGCAGGGATTACAATGAAGTGTGTTTATAAACAGAGGYTGATGTGAACAAAATTTATGATGATACTATATGCTTTGAAGTAACCTGTTTAAACTCTTGCTGTTTCAGATTTGTACTATGGTGGAGAAGCTTTCTCTGTAGAGCAGCCACAGTCTTTCACTTGTCCTTATTGTGGAAAAATGGGTTATACGGAAACATCTCTTCAAGAACATGTTACTTCTGAGCATGCAGAAACATCAACAGAAGTGGTAAGAAGCTTCAGAACTGGCTTTCRTGGTGGAAATATATTTTAAATAGTCTCATTTCTGAAAAACTGTCTTTCTTGAAGCATGTATTCATTTAAATGCTTTGTCAGAAGATGTGCCTACATTTGAGCATGACATCAAAATTCTTCTCTGGTTTATGAGTATCATAATATAATGAGCTTGCCTCCTTTTAGAGTTTTTGTTTGTTGTGCTGATATAAAGGCTACCTTGTTTAGGAGATTGTTACACTGTAAGACAAAATTTAGAACGTTCTCAAGGTWATTGTGTCTAGCTATATCTCCCTTTTCACAACTAGTATGTAATTGCTCTGCAAGCTTACAGCTCTGCCAGTCTTYTGTAACTGTAAGAGAGAGGAAGACATGCAGATACTTGTGCTTTTCAAATAGCTTTTTTAATGAGCTTGATATTTTTATGCAGTGGGATTTTATAATTTTTTTAATTATTCTTGTCAAAGCAGGGGGTTTTCCTCCATCACTAATCATTAGGACACTAAATGTGGTTTAAAATGCACTAGGACACTAAATGTGGTTTAAAATGCACTTACTAAACAGTAAGAGTTTAGTTTTATTGGAGTATGTTTATTGCTGATGTTAACTTCCCCTGTCTTGATCGACCTTGAGAGCAGGAGAGACTGGGTTAGCAGAATGACATGAAGGGTACTGGTCTCTGGTCAACTGTTTTACCGTGAACTTCTAGAAAGAAGGTGATGCTTGAAGTGGATTACTCATCACATTCACATTAGGAAGAAATCAGTTATAAAAGTTTTTTTGTTCTAATATTCTAGTTTTCTTAACTTTCAAAGAATTCTGCGGAAGAAAATTAATAACTCTTCAAGCCTAATAAGGAGCTTGTGTGAAGGAGTGATACTAAAGGATGTTGGTTCACCTTTTTTGYGATTCAAGGGTGTTATGATCTTTCTTAAAAACATAGGAAGTGAAAAACTTTATTTCACAATCAGCTGCGCTGTGGTATCATTATGTAACTGGGTGAGATGCTGCAATTTTTACAATCTGTCTGAGTTTTCTTAAACTTCGCAACTTTCAAACGTAGCATCAACCATTGAAAATTCTAGATTTGGATGACTTAATTTTGTTTGGTGGCTTGGTATTGCAGTTCTGATTTGCACCACTTGATGTCAGTGATATGTTCTGATGCAGAGTATTCACACATCCCAGGTTTTTAAACTTCACATGCCCTTGTTTGCAGTTGTCAGTTCTAGAACCTCACAAATAAAGCCTAAATTTGTGATTCTTGACATCTGTTACTTTAATGAATCATGAAAGAGTTATATGTGAAAGAAACCGAACCAAACCACAAACCTTTTCTTTTTGAGCATCAGTCTGCAACATTGCAATATCTTGATTGCAGACGATTATAAAGCACAATATTTTAATCATCGAATACAATTATTTACCATGTTAAGTTTTGAATTTGGGTTTTACGATAAATGTTTAGTGTGCATGCACATGTAATTATTTGGGTACTGTAGCCTTACTGAGATAGTGAAGGACAATAAGATTAGTAAAGAGGAAAATATTATGAATTGTAAATGTTTGTAGTTTTAGGCTTTCAAACAATTATTTGTGTTTGATGCTGAGCTTGTAGTAGTTGGAGTATCTCCGTCCAAAGATGTGTTTTATTTTAGGCATATATTTTTAGGTATGTAAGGGAACTTTACAGGTACAGAATCATTTGCATTTTAAAGGCCTTTTGCCCCTAGTTTTTAAAAGAATAAGCCAAACAATTTTCGTCCATTAAATTTTTCCATTTTCCTATTCAGAATGATGCAGATAAGTTTACTTTGTGCTGATTTTTCTCAGTGTAGACATTGGTAAATTCAACAGYGTTAGGTATTTGCAGGCAGGAATCAGACTGACTGAGGTTAAAAGGGGCTTCTGGAGGTCATCTTGAGCACGGCTATCTACAGCCGGTTGCTCAGCACCATGTCCAGGCAGTTCTTTATTTAATAGTGACTCCGCAGCCTTTCTGGTTTACTTGTGCCAGAGCTTGCTGATCCTCRCAGTGAGAAATGTTCCATTGTTTCCTGAGATTTACTTCCTTCAAAGTATGAGGAAGCTCCTGTAACCAGGCTTCTCACATCTTTTGAGCAAGAAGCCTGCATTTTCCCTAGTTGTCTTTTTATTTCTATATACTTTGCCAGCTTCCTATATACTTCTAGAAGACCTTCTTGTTACCGTGAACATTGCTTGCCTGATTTGGTTCCATTTGGGCGTTAGCTTGTCTTACCTTGCACTGTGATGCTCAGATAATGCTTATGCATTCCTCCAGGGTAAGCTCTTCATGTTTTCTCTTTGTGTTTGTCCAGGAGTGTCTTGATCATCCATGCACGCCTCCTGGCATTTCTGCCTTACTTCGTGTTCATTGGGATGGAGAACTCTTGAGTTTGSAGGGGAGTGATGACAGGCTTGGGGCCCCTTTAGTCACTGGGTTCTTACACCAAGGGACTSTTCCAAGCTGGTATTTTAAGAGGCTGAAGTATGCTTTGCTGGGGTCCAGGGTCGTGAGCTTGTTTTCGTCCTCTTCCCTGCCCTCAGGATCTCAAACTGCACCATGTCAAGGTCCYTGAACCCCTCTTTGTTGGTAATTACAAAGTCCCATATAGCACCTCTCCTTATGTGCTCCTCTGTCACTTGGAGGAGGAAGTTACAATGAATGCACTCCAGGAGCTCTTGGATTGCAGTCGTGCTGTTGTCCTTCCAGTAGATACTGGGATGGTTGAAGATCTCCATGAGGATCAGTGTGTGCGATCTGCAAGTGTGATGTCCCTAGAAGGCCTGACCTCTTTGTTCCTACTGGTCAGGTGGCCTATAGTAGACAACCCCTGTAACATCACCTTTGCTTGTTAAAAAGAGAAGAACTCTTTTTAATTCCAACATATAAGATCTCCATGAGGCCATCTTCCATCCCCAGTCAGTGCTTCTAAGGCACCCCAGCTGCTCTCTTAATTAAAAGGGCAAGCCCTGTTTTCTGTTCAAAGAGCCTTCTTCCTCTTCTAAAATACCAGTATCTCTTCACCCAAAAAATGTCCAGGGAAAGTAGTTAGAAGTATAAGGCAGAGGAATCTGGGAATCAATATGATGATTGGTTTTGTTGGTGTTGGGGTTCCAGATTAGTTGGACTGGTCCAGATAAAATGCAGTGTTCAACTAGAAGTCTGCTARCATTGTAAATAAAACAGATACAGGAAACTTCACCAAATACTATCTCTTGAGTCTTGTTTCAAAAGAAAAATGCAGAATTTCTGTTATTACGTTGCACTGCAGCAGCTTTCTCACCTTTGGGAAGGCAGTAACTAGGGTCCATGTACATTAATTTTAAGCACTAGGTTGTTGATACTTCGCTGATAAAACTGGGGAGAGCTTTTCCTTGCGATAATGAAATGGACAGTCTGAGATGGTATCAATGTCCCTATTCATCTTCAAATCTTCCCARTGACTCTTGTTGAGTTCACAGAAGTGCTGTCACTTAAAGAGGTTGTATGTAAATGGGGAAGTAGTGGTAATAGAAGCACAGTTTTGAAAACTGKCACATGTTCTGTGACTGGGATTGACTTAGGCTTTTGGAGTCATCATTCAGGGTTGAGTGGTGATTTACAAATGTTCATAAATACCAGAGAAACTTCTGACAACATTTGCCTTTCATCTGCTCTATTTGTTCATGCATGTTCTAGTTAACAATGATTTTTAGCTGTGTCATGCTTAATCAGTGATGCAGCCATCTTTCTTGTGACTCTGTCAGAGCTGATGCTTAACAAAATTTTTGTTCTTGAAAATCTAGTTGTATTTAGAATTAGGGTTGGGATACTTCGATTCCTTSTTTCTCAATGTTCATTATCACCTTTTCTTAATTGATGTTTTTCTGAGGACTGAGTATATTCACTAATATGTGCAGTTCATAACCCTTTTTTCATCTTAGCCAAGAACTTTGTGGTGCTTTGCTGCTTTTATGAGTGGATTGTTCTTATGTTGGCTTTCACGTTCCTTGGAGTAGCTTAAATAAAAAAAAGATTGCTTTGAGAAGTGTTGCATTCTCTTGTTATGAAACACGTTCTTGAAGATTAGGCAGCTGTAATGAAGTTCTGGGAATTTGTCAAATACATACCCATTCCTACAAGCAGACAGGGAAGCTAGATTATATGTTGGCATTGTTGAGTATTTATTATATTCATCTGTGATAAGATGTGCCTTGTAGTGCACTCTGTAGTGGTGAAAAATTTGTGGAGAGAAATGCTGAACATTGAAAATAAGAAGGAAGGAGTTGTAGCACAAAGCTTTTAAAATGCTGGTTTTCTTTTCAGAACTGACCACTAAAATTAAAGTGGCATTAGATAYAGCAGTTCCTGTCAAAAGCAGCTGAGATTTTTACTGTAAACTTATTTCAAGGCCTTATTCTCACCTCCATGAGAGTACACAGATGTGTGTGCTGTTATACAGGTGTTCTTAATGCCCATGGTTTTTTGAGTTTGGCATTCAACAGCTTGACTATATACACAAGGAAAAGAGAAGACGCTGTTTCTGGAGTCATTCAGAGAGCAAGTTATAATTACGGCAATAGCAGTGGTAATGTTTGCCAACTTAGTTAACTGTACTTTGGTGTTAAAAAAACCCAACAAATCAACCAACCAAAAGCCACAATGAAGGGGAAGAAAACCCCAAAACCAAAGAGACCGCAGTACCTTCTCCCAGAATACTGTTGTGGAGTGGTATGAAGATCAGCCCTTGTTTGCCAAACCTGCACTGGCTGGGTAGGATGGTCTCAGCTTGATACTTAGCAGATACAGACAGTTTAATTCTGATTCCTCTGCTGGGATGAGTGTCAAACAAATAGCATTCCTGTATAATTGAACTCTACTGTCTGTGGCAGAATCGGCATACAAATACTAATTTTCAAAGACATTGCAGATTGAATTTGAGAATCCTAGCTGTGGTTTTCATAGTATTCTGAAATTCATAAAGTAAAAGATGACTAAATTAATGTCTGCACTTCAGATTAGTATACTGAGTTTCTTGAATATGTTGATATACAGGTAGTTGTGAATATCAAAGTGGGATTTTAAGGCGTAAGAKCGATGTCTAATGACTGAGTCAAGTTCTGTTTCTTGTAGTATTTATAAAGTTGGGTGTTTTTCTTGCTTTGTCATTTCAGATTTGTCCAATATGTGCAGCATTACCTGGAGGGGATCCGAATCACGTAACAGATGACTTTGCAGCTCATCTTACACTGGAACACAGAGCTCCTAGAGATTTAATATCCTTTCCAGTTTGAGGCAAAGAGGCCAGACTGTTTCACCTAGTAGTCATGGTGATTTGGTTTGATTTTTATAGTCAAAGGTTGATATTCAGGATTTCCTGGARCTTAGATTGCTAAAGATATGTATGTCAAAAATAAAAAGGTTCATCTGCTAGTCTAGAAAAGTACAGTTGTCAGATTGTGTGCAGACTTGTAGGTATACTTGAGAATGGTTTTTCCTCTAACAGCAGAAACATTTAAAGGATTTTGACACAGAAGCTTTTTCTACTTGCACCATGTTTTATCTTGCCTGATTAGACTCTTAATCTGTTTTATGTATGAAGATTCAGTGCTGTATGTATTTATGACATAAAGGTGATTCAAGCTTAGCTGCTTATAACAGAAGATTATAAGCTTGATTAACGACTTTTAATGCAGTCATTAGTAATACAGTTTTGTAATGTTACTGATATTTTGGAATACAACTCAGAAAACCTACAGATTTTCTGGGAAATAGGATGTTGTTCTTCAGCTAACTTAGCAGCCAGTTGTGGACATTTATCTATGATTGATGGCTAAAGAGCTGGAACTGTTGTTTTTTTTCATCCTTGTTCTAGAAATACTTGTTTCCTTTTTAAAAAAATTCTTTCCTCCCTAGAATTAACTGATAAAATATATTTTGGTTTGGGCTTTTTTTTAATGACATGCAAGCTATGTAGCATCCCTACAGTAAGTAATCTCTGAATTATGCCTTTGTGTCTCATTTAAACAAACAGAAAAAAGGACTGCATTATAACTTTGATAGTGCCTTTTTTGTTTAGCAGTTTTTAAAAAGGAAAAAAAGAATAATGTAAGCTCAAGCAATTACAGTAAAAAAAAATCTAAGCCATATCAAACACAGTTAATTACACTGACAGAAGGGAAACAGCATTTGAGGTGTTGGCTCCACTTCAGGTATGATTGTGTTTGATTACATTTAAATTTGCTAGTATTAACATGGTTTAGGGCCAGAACAGACAAAACCTCATAGTTTGATTACTATGCAGTAATTGGGTCAGAGTGAGGGAGTTTAGGTGTGGATTGGTTCTGGGAAAAAAAGTAAAGAATGATGCAGAAAGTGGTACAAAAGATGAAAGCAGTTACCTGTGCTTTGCCTTTCTCACAGACAGGAGTGGCGCTCCCAGCTTCAGGGTGCTGAATGTGGGGGCTCTGGCCCTGAGAGCTGATCCCAGACATCCCTGTGGTCCTCTGGCCACGAGTCATGCGTTTCTCCCTTTCTGAAGGAGGTGGGATGAGATTGATGAGGGGAGAGTAACTTCCGAACTTTCCTGTTCTTTGAGCAGATGGGAGATTTTGCTTAATGTGTGATACAATTTCCGTGTTTTTTATTGTATCATTTTAGTTCTGCTCATTGTTCCAACTGCAAGATTTTCAAAGCACCTGTCTAATTAGGCTTTTTCTGACAAGAATTACATAACTACATAACAGTGTACCAAAGGTCAGACTGTAGGCTTCCAATGTTGGCTTATCTGCTCTGTAAGCCAGGAAATTTATAAATTTTCCCAGCTATAGAGTGAAATTAATTTCCTACTGAAACGCACGAGATATTTTATTAGAATGCAGGCTTCTGCTGCATTCTCTTCCCCTAGTACCAGAGATGCTACCAAATGACTTTTAATTAAGGAATGTTTGAGCTAGAAAAGTCAAAGTAGTTGGTCRAACCCATAGTGAGGTGTCAGTACCAGTCATCCCAAAATGGATACATTTKGGGAATACAGTGCCCATGCTTAAAKATAATGCATATAGAATTTTCTGCTTTCTCTGTCTTGAAGTGACTGTTTGACATTTGGGCTCTAGATCATATCTGGCAATAAGCAGGTCTAAAGCAGGAAAAAAGGAAGAGAAGATATCCCTTTTCACTCAGGGTCTGGCAATGTAGGAAATAAGAGCCATTAAACTCTACCAGGAAGCTGTTAAAAAGCTGCTCTCTGATACACCATTATATTGCTCAATATGAAGTTGAAGCTGTAGAGAATAACTCTCCAAGGCCTCTAATTGCCTTCATGTACAAAAAGAAGATACAGAGGAAGCTCTTGGCTTGCAGTTTTTCTGGAGAGATTTCTTTTGCAGTTTGAGGTGAGCTGTTCTGAGGAATATCCACCAGATGTTAGTTAGATATGTTTAGTTAATTTTGATTTTTGGAGTTCTTTCCTGAAGTTGTCCCAAAAGGCTGCAGTGTTTCTTACACAAACCTTGTGCAGCTATTGCAATGTGTGTCATTTATTCCTGCAGTCTGTGGACTGTTTAAAACCCAGTTCCTTTTTTTAGTAGGAAAATATTTGAAAATTTATTAAATATGACTTTTCAGCATTAATCATACAAATAGTTGTTGAATGGCTATGCAGTTTAACTATTTGTCACGAGGTAAGGTTTGTAAAGTCTTTTCTTACTCTGGCATAGCTAGTAAGACTCAAGTGTGYGCTTGGCTGGTATTTGAAGAATGCCCTTTATCTCAAAACACTTTAAAAGCTGTGGTTAGGAAAGTTAGCCCAGACTCCTATCTGTGTCTGAAAAATCCCCAGATACTTGGCTGTTCTGACATGCTTAGTTATTGAAAGCTTGTCAAATTACGTGGCGTCTATAGTCCTAATTTAGCAGCTCATCTCCAGCAGTGTCCACAATGGGCACACTCAAAGGTGCAAGATGCTCTGTGCTAAGCCAAGTGTTCTGTGCCAGTTAGGCTTTCCTCTTACACCCTGGATGTTAAGTTTTACACTGTAGCATAGTTTGCAGTTTTGAAAGACACTGTGAAGTCTTCTTGTAATGGCCAAGAGCTCTCTCTGTCTCTTGCCRTGGGAAGTTGAGTAATTTATTTCAGTCTTAAGTTCTTGACCTCCATGACATCATGAGGTTGTGCATTGGACACTACCCTTACACAGACATTGATGCTGTGTGAATGGTAAGCATACTGTTACCAAAAAAAAAAACCATAGGAGATGGAGATCTAAATTAAAATTCTGGTAACACTAAAAATATTAAAGCCTATGCTATTTCATTTTTCACCAGTGAATCTCATTAGTGATTTTAAAAAAGAAACCTAATCTGGACTGTCTTGGAGGAATGAATGTTAACAACTTTATGACAAAAATTTCTTTAACAAATCAAAGGTTTAACTAAATCTTTAATTAATTTGTTGATTACTTCAAAATTTAGAGCCGGTAACAAGGTATGACATGAAATACAAGCATCTGAGCAGTGGGGGGAAACGGGAAAACAAAAACTATYATCATAGCTGGAATTTGTGGTATTTCTTCAGCTAAAAGAGGAAAGGTGACACAAAGGGGTGTGATGGATGTGCTCAGTAATCCAGAAATCTACAGTTTCCTTAGGACTGAAATAATGAAATTGCTTGGATAAAAGCWTGAGGTACAGAAGTCCAAAGGATTGTGGTAGTTATTCTGATATGAACTGCATTTAACTTTTTCAATCTTTTTGATACTTAACGTAAGAATTGGGAAAGGAGAATGAAATCCTGTCTTGGCAGTAAGCTTGGCTGTACATGCATTTGTGTGGGTTTTCATTGAAAATTTTGATTAAAAAGAAGTTGCCAGATCAGTTAAGTCTGACTGCAGCATAGCTACAGTGTACCTTAGCTTTGCTTCAGAAGTTCAGTCATTACTTTCTGAAATCAAGAACAGTACACCTGAGTATTTCACCCATCAGATGCCATTTAATAATCATTTAACACTCAATGCCAAACAGTTCTGTTTTCTTAACTTCTTGGCTACGATGAATCCAGTGGCGTTCGGCATGTACGTAGGATGTTCCACCCAGGCCGGGGTTTGGGAGGCCCCCGTGCTCGTAGATCAAACATGCACTTTACTACCAGTTCCCCTGGTGGGCTTTCATCTTCTCAGAGTTCATATTCTCCAAGCAATAGAGAAGCCATGGATCCTATAGCTGGTAAGAGTCATAACCACAAAATTTACCCCTGTCCTCTTTCCACAGAGGAAGGAAAATTTAAGATGACAGTAGTTGCCCTGCTCTGTGTTTCTGTGAAGCTGCATGTATAGGCTTGTCCCAGAGCGTGGGTGAAGAGGGGGAGGGTGTTCTTATTGTCAACATTAGAAAATAATTGGGCTGTGTCTTCAGGATTTGCAGAAATAACTTGTTTGTTCTGTTTTTAGCTTTGATGTGAAAATAACTTTTTTTACAAGGAAGGAAAAACAGAGAGTGAAGACAATTCTGAAAGCAAGTATAGTTTTGCCTGTTGGGAAATCTAAAAATTTTCATGTCACGATCTTTTACAATATCAGCATGTCAGGGAAACTTCAGAATGTCTGCCTCAAATCCACCTTTGCTTCAGATGCAAAGGAGACATAGATGCTCAAACTGGACCTTACTGCTATCAGGCTGTGTACTACTTCGGGGTGAGGTAGCCAGCAAGCTGGCTAATGAGGCACTGCCCTTGAAAGGGGAGCTGTGGATCCACTGCCTTCCTTAATCATGGTCCCCTTTACCCTCCTTCTGCTGGCCTAGTGTGAACTGATGTAACTCATTAAATCAGCTGTGGAGCAGTAGCCCATCAAGAGAAGAAAACAAGTTCAGTGAGGTTACAGGTGAATTTGTTCAAAGAGGGAGGATGTTCTTGTAGCTTCCAATGTAAGACATCCTCTTGCTCTTGCAAGGGCAGCTGCTTCAGCTCAGTTATATGTGAARCGGCTGCTGAGGTTTGTTTTCAGCCTCACTGGGCCTTCCCATTTAGCAGCATTWAATGTGAGATAAAATGTCGTTCTTCTGCACCTTTTCTCATTTGGTGGGAGCTCTGTTTCTGTATTTAGAACATACTCAGCTGGGTGTCTGTCTTGTTCCAGGACTGTCTTGAGTTCACACCTGCTTCCAAAATATTGCTTTGCTATACTCTAAACTTTAGCTTGCAGTAAGAATGAATATATCTAAATCTTGCCTGTGAGTTTAATGTGTCTGTGTGCCTTTTTACTGGAGTAGTAAATAAMGGATCACTGTAATTTTTCTGTTTTAAAGTTTATAGCATCAGTTACTTTTCCTAAACATTTTCTTTCCTCCCTGTGGCATTATTTAGTAATTAAAATTTACTTCATTTTGGTGCTGGTGTCAGTGTTGGTGAAAATTACTTGACCGCTCAAATTCATATTTTGCTTTATTCCTTCAAAAATGGCTTGAATTACATTTTGTTAATACAATGGAAGAGARATGGTCCTGATCTATATAGGAGCATTGTAATATGGAGGAGAGRGGCAGGAGCAGGATTGTACCCTGCTTCATCTGCCATTGCATCAACTGCAGTAAGTGTGTGAGATAAGAATTATCTAATGCACAGGGTGTAGAAGAGATTGTGTTGTAATGCACTGAGCAGTAATTGCTGCTAATAATTATTTTAAGAAAACCCTTGTGGATRAAACTTGCAGTGAGCACTCCATCCTTCTGTATTGGAAGTCTTAAAAAGAGAGGGTTTTTTAATTGCTAGGCCTTCTCCATGCTTCTTGCAGAAATAACAATTCATACAGAATGCTTTTAATGTGAAGCAGTGATTTAATRTGTTTTCTTAACTAAATATCTTTTATTAAATGTTTGAAGCGTGGTGCAGTATTTCTGTCATTGCTGCAGCACAACTTCCCTCTAGGATAATTAGGAAGATGMAGCTTGTGTTCTGAGGGAACACTTGTTAAAAGGAAAAAAATTGTCACCACCCATGGCAGAAATAAAGAAGTTTCTTAGTGGCTGTTTTTACTTGGAGTTTCAGAGTTGCTGCAGAGGGTATAATTTGTCAGCTATTACCTGTGGATGGGCTCCCTGTCTGTGTCAAGACATTAAACTGTGACTTATATTTGGACAAAATCTGCATGAATTAGTCTTAATCTTCATGGGCTCTCTGAGCATTGTTGGGTTTTAATGTTGATTGTAAAAAATTGAATKGATGCACTGGAATTTAGGGTGTTATTTATTCTGCTGTGTAGTGCTGGTTCAAGATCTTAAGTCATAGAAGCTTTCTCTTCTCTGGCAGAGCTTTTATCCCAGCTATCAGGTGTGAGGCGTTCTGCAGGAGGACAGCTCAACTCCTCTGGCCCTTCTGCTTCTCAGTTACAGCAGCTGCAGATGCAACTGCAGTTGGAACGACAGCATGCACAGGCAGCAAGACAGCAACTGGAGACTGCACGCAATGCAACCAGACGCACCAACACGATCAATGTCAACACCACTATGACACAATCTACAACAACAACCAACACATCTAACACAGAAAACAGTCAGCAGACTATCCAGAATTCCCAGTTCCTTCTGACAAGGTAACTTGTTCAGTGTATTTAGTTGTATTTGCGTCTTATAATTTGTATAATTTGCATTTACCTTAGCTCTAATAAAGATACAAAACTTTATAAAGTTTATGTGTTTGGAGTCAGGCACGTGCCTAGGATGGCAGTAATTACCAGAATACTTACCTAGTTTACTTRCCTAGTTTAACCCAGAGTTATTTGTAAGAGGATTCATCCCCTATGTCATTCTAGGTGTTCTATAACATTGACTATTGACCTGAAATAAAAATGTTTTCCACATTKCACCTGCCACACTCTCCGTAAGCATACATTTGTTTGTGTGGTAATTTTAACAGCTGCTGTGCCTGAATTTGAGTCAAAYAGATGTTTATCTGAGTTCAAAATAATGCCGTGTGACAGCCTTCAATCAGAAGGACACTTGAGAACCTTAATAAATCACCCCCAAGTGTCYATGACTTTCAGAGCTGGAGTGAGCAATTTCTTTGCCCCTGTCAGGGTATGTACTGTGTACCATAGGATAAGTGGAAAGGTTTGGTAATCCATACAAAGGCTTTCCATGTGCAGTGATGTGTTTTGTAGCCAATGTGAATGAACTTAGAAGTTGATGTAGGAATAATGGAGGCATGTAATCATATGTCCAGGAGGTAGTACCAGCCATGCCTCAAAGACTCCTTGAATAAMAGGAAACTTCATAAATAGTTTTTTATGTTCCTCTGGCTTTGGGCTCCACTGTGAATGCTGTTGCAGCAGCAGGGAAGGGGTGGGTTGTTAATGCATGCCTGTTGTACTGAGGTGTTGGATGTGTGAAGGGCAGGCAGGACTGTCCTGCAGGAACAGTTTCTGAGCACATCTCAGCCTGTCAGTGGTGCCATCAGTGAAATGGGCTTTCAGCAACTGCCTGTCTTCTTTTCCCTGCTGCTGCACAGGTTGAATGATCCGAAGATGTCGGAAGCAGAGCGTCAGTCAATGGAGAGCGAGCGGGCAGACTGCAGCCTGTTTGTTCAGGAGCTTCTACTGTCCACCTTGATGCAGGAAGAAAGTTCCTCCTCAGATGAGGATGAGCGGGGGGAGATTGCAGATTTTGGTGCTATGGGCTGTGTAGATATTATGCCTCTAGATGTTGCTTTAGAAAACCTAAATTTAAAAGAGAGTAATAAAGGAAATGAGCCTCCTCCACCTCCTCTTTGATGACATCCCACTTTGCAGACAATGTCCTCTGTGCTGTATTTGCCAATGAAAGTGGACAACAACTATCTTGGGTTTGTTTTGGTGATTGTAATTTCAGGTCTGTCACTCTTGTTACATTGTGTACATTCAAAAGAGAGAGAAAAGATATATATGATAATCATTTCCACTTAACTAATTTTTACTTCTAGCAGGTAAATGTAGGTTGCAGTGCAGAGCAGAAGGCTCTGTGTCCTGTACCTTGACATGCAAAAGGCTCTCCTAATACTCCACATTCAAACTGAAGAGGAAAAAAAAAGAAAAATCTCTAATGAAGCTGCTGTGTGTATTTATGAATATTAATGAATAAAAACTGCTTGGATGGTTTACCTTAACTACTGCATGACGTTTTTTGCAGCGTGCATGAGTTTTAGTGACCTTGTCATTTAAAAACTTAAATACAAGGAGTAAAACTATAAAACACAAGGCTTTTCCATTATTCAAAGGTTACGTGATGAAAAAGGTTAGCGCTGAGTAGCAGTTTGTGGCCACAAAGTAGCTTTTAATAATATGTGACAGAATGACATCTTCATGTGCTGTTCCTGCACAGGATGGAAACTCTGCAGTGGGATACATTGTTGTGACCGGGGTGTGGCATTTTGCTCTATGTGACCATTATATTGCCCTCTCAGCCGTCACCTCGATGTGGAGTTAAATTTCATTTTATGCATCCGTAGGAGACACAACAGTAAGGCCACTGCTGGAAGCTACTGCAAGGGGCTTTTGTGTGCCCTAAAATCAAATGATGTTCACTTTTGTTTAACGTTTTTCTTTGTTGTGGTTGTTAAAATTTTTTAATTGTTAAATATGTTTTATTCAGGTGTAGACAATTCATATATTCACTGTGTTTCTTAAAAAAAAAAAGTTAACCCGGATCCTATTGTCTTAGTTTAAAAGCCTTTCACAGCCTCAATCATACTTTGAGTTATTTATGTATTTGCTTCATAGTCTGCAGAGACCTGACAGTATCAGGAGAGCTYGAGGATTTGGATTCCCAGACTGTCAGTATATTACAAGAAATTCTTAATGCTAAATTTAGCACCTTTTATTTATTGGTTCTTTTGGTTATTTTCACTGGTATAAAAAAAGTTGGAAAAAAGCCTTTTAGTTGAATCATGCCACCTACATGCCTATACTGTTAATCCTACTGGTTTGGAAAAAAAAAGTATGGTGTTCTTGTGCATAAAAATTTATAATAGCCCCAAGGCAAGGACAAAAGGGGTATGTTTGCTTTTGGTTTTCTTTCTTTTTTTTCATACTTCTCTTTTTTTTGTGTGTGGATTTTTTTGAATGTAAAGTTAGATTATAAAAACAAAAGTGCACACAGCTTCTGATGAAAATTTAAACTAGACTTATATCATAATGATGTCTTTCCAGATCTCTTGCCTCACCCCCCTCTCTCTTTCTCTGTATCCTCTCATCTCAGCAGCATTGTAGAGTAAACGTCCAGACTTGGACACCATGTGGTGTTCTCAGCAGAACTGTGACATGTATGCTAATCCAAAATAACAGCAGGAAAAGAAACAACCCCATAGACTGAAGTTTAAGTTCCTTTCTCTTTTTTTTTTTTTTTTTTTTTTTTTATTGTTTGTTTTTTTGTTTTGCAGCACTAGCCTTGGTTGGTTTTTTTCTTTTTTTTTTTTTAGTCTCTGCAACAGAAAACTTTACATGCAGCCTCCGGTTGTCCTGAGAGTTACCCCCAGTAGGGACTTTTTTATTGATTGTTGAAGACTTTCAAAAATTTTTCAAGCTGTAGTTTTTCAGACACATCTTCTGCACATTACAATAAGACACACGGTTCAATAAAGCATTTTCAAGACTGTTGTTCAGTTGATTTTCTTTGGTTTTAATGTAACAGTTTTGTTAAGAAGTTTCTGCATCTGCTTCTCGCTCCAATTTCTGCATCTGCATATTCCAATACAAAATCAGTTCATGTAAACATTGGAACGGTTTACATAAACCTTTTATTACCAGTGCTTTGGCAGGTGATGATGTATGTAATCCTGAACTCTTTACAGGTAGGTGAGCTGAAGGCTGCATCCACCAAGGTGCATTTAAAACAGGCTCTGCTAGTGCAGTGTTACTCTGTGTCAGTGTGAGGCTGGTCTCTTGCATTGCCGGAATTCCAGACACCACCACACCTGCTTGGAAGGGGATGCAAACCCATGCTTTGTTTAGAGGCTGAATACGTGCTGACTTGGGTTTAAAAGTATCCTTGGATGTCACATAAACTTGTACAGATCTTCATTTGTTTGGGGGGTTGTTTGACTTTTTCTTTCTTTTTTAGGTTTAAAAGTAATATGAAATGGCTGCTAGGAAGGTGTTCTGGTAGTCCATCAATTCCTGTTTTCAGGGAAGTGTTTTTCCTTCTCAGAGTAAACTTTGCCAATACTTTGGGGTATTTCCAAAACATGTGTTTTCAGGGTGCCTTGGTCTGCATTGACTACAGCCTCTCTAAGCTTTGAGGGGGAATCCGAAAGGGGTTTATTGCCTTTTCTGTGTGCAAGGGGGGAAAAAATAATGCATGAGAAAAAAACCCCACCCCACGACCACATCCCAACACACAACGTGGATAGTTTCCTTCCAGGAAAGGGAGCTTTAGTGCTCTGCACTTGCACAGTTCTTGGAATTCAGTGAAACCTGTATCGGGACTGGGTGGTCAAGGTCATGTAAAGAGTTGCTGTCAAAGGAAAATTATCACAAATTTGTGAAAAGCCGACCAAGTTGTATGTTAAGGTTCACTCTGTTACCACATTGATAAAGCACACAAAGGGTAAGAGGATTAGGGTCAGCCTGGAATGATCCACAACAGAGACTGGGGATGCAAAAGGGGTGAGGATGGAGAATGTAAGGGTGCAGAGGGGGAAGGGAGACTCTGCCACTGAGTCATGGGGTTCACCATGGACCCCCTTGCCAAACAGCCTTGGAAATACTCAGTGCTTTATGTCTGAAGGATTTGGCAGCGCACAATCATTGACTAATTTAACTCTCACAAAATGATCCTGTAAGATTCATTATAACCCAAACAGTAACTTAATTTTGAATCTGACAACAGTGATGCTCCACTTGCTATGAAGTATTGAAGCCAGTTTTCACACACACAGACACACGTATGTATTCAAATGTTTGGGGGTGTGTGGGGGTGTGTACAAATCACCTGTTGAAAACTCGCCCATGGTTCAGTGCAATGCACACTTTGGGTGCCTCTCTCAGTGAGGAGGGGACACCAGCTCAGGCCTCACTGACAGTTCTCAATGAACCCTCTTTGAGTTCTGCGTGGGTTGATGAGCACCGAGAGGCAAATCCAGCTCCAAGGGAGGTGCTGCAGAGCCACTGGGGCCAAGGAACTCGCTTGGGACCCCCGTTCATTGGGTTGAGAGATGCTTGGCTTTAGTCTTACCTCAATCTCCATCCTGGACTCAATCCAGGTCAGTAATTTTCCTCAAAGTCCAGCAACAATAGTACTGTTTCACTCCAGCTGTGATCCAGATAAAAACAAGTTTCCAAGGCTATTCATTAGAAAACAAGTCTGTTGGGCAACACATTCCTGAGAGCAGGGAGTGTTACTGATAAGCTCAAGGAGAAACATAATCGTGCAGGTGCAGAAGGGAGGATGTGCCCCACCATATCTGTGCTGTGTGTACTGTATGCCGTGTGTGTGCTCTGTGTGTGTGTTCTGTGTGTGTTCTGTGTATGCCGTGTGTGCTGTGCGTCTGCACCGTATATGCTGTGTGCGCTCTTGTGTGTGCTGTGTGTGTGCTCTGTGTGCTCTCTGCTGTGTATGCTCTATGTGTGCTCTGTGTGTGCTGTATGTGCTGTATGCTCTGTGTGCTCTGTGCTGTGTGTGCCGTGTGTGCTGTATGTGCTGTGTGCTCTGTGTGCTCTGTGCTGTGTGTGCCGTGTGTGCTGTATGTGCTGTGTGCTCTCTGTGTGCTCTGTGTGCTCTGCGTGCCCTGTGTCCTGTGCCGTGTAAGCTCTGTGTGCCATGTGCTCTGTGTGTGCCGTGTGTGCTGTGCCGTGTGTGCCGTGCCATGTCGTGTGTGGTGCGCTGTGCACGCTGTGCCATATGTGCTGTCCCGCATGTGCGTGCCGTGTGTGTCGTGTGTCCTGTGTGTGTTGTCCCGTGTGTCCCGTGTGTGTCCCGTGTGTGCCGCGTGTCCCGTGTGTCCCGTGTGTGTGTCCCGTGTGTCCCGCGCTGCTCCGCCGTGTCGCTGATGGAGCCCCAGAGCCCGCGGTGTCCTCTCCTGCGCTGTCAGCGCGGGCAGTGCCAGCTCCCATTGTGGGGAGGCTGCCGGAGAGCCTTTGCTGGGGGAGGGGCAGGCAGGAAAGCAAACAGCCATTCCAGTCCTCTGTGACAGTTAAAGGGTAGGAAAAAGGGAATTACAGGTGGAAACAGTCGAGCTGAAGTCCCCGGAAAGCTTTTTAGATGTCGGTATGGTCTGTCTGTAACTTAGGATCTGCTTTAGCAAGAGATCTGGGTTGCTTTTTTGGTACCTTTTTTTTCTGTTTGGATTAAAGCCAGAGAAAGATCAAAGCCGTATCTTCCACATGGGGTGCGATAAACAGTGAAAACGCTTCCGCCTCATGTCTTAGTTGTGACCGCCTTCCTCAATTCCCTGGCACTGGGGGGTGGGGGAGTTTCCATTCTCCGCCCTGCGCTCAGGTTGGGTTTTAAGAACTTCCTTCTTGGCACAAAGTTGTTCTCCTTCTGAGCCTAGCGTAGTGGTCAGCACAGTTTGGCGCAGAACGCAAACATCCAGATGTGCACACAGCTGCAGCTTTGAGACTTGTCTGTTGTGAAGGACTAAAGGCCATTCCCTGCTGCCAGCCAGAAGTCCCAGCAGGAAGARAGCCTCCACTGCTTCCCGGGGCTCTCGGAAGGACTAAACCAGGGAAGCAGTGGATACATTCAGTATAAGAAKGTTTTCCATTTACATCACTTAATCTTTTCCCTGACATAGGTGGCCTTCAGTTCTGGTCAGTCTGCCTTGCCAAATGGACACTGGATTGTTTTACTGTTTCAGCTCCTAAGAGGAACCAAGCATGCCGAGCGCTGGCAGAGACGCCCCCGGCAGTGACCCGCGCTGAAAGCGGCGCTGAGTGCCCTCCCTTTTTGCCGTCCTGCAAAGACGCAGCGTCTTTTGCAGCTTTCCTGCGAGGGTGCTGCTGYCTCCCGCTTGCCGAGCACATGCGCGGATACCAACGTGCTGCTCTCTGCTTTGTTACACGAAGGGTCTTGAGACAGCCCGACGGGCACAAGGATTTATTTGCAGGGTTTATGCTTAAGGTGCATGGTATTTAGGTACTCAGAAGTTATTTGTGGACAAAGAAAGTGAAAAAGGGGAATTGTGGGGGCACCTGTGCAGCTTGTGGAGTGTGCTTCCATCACACTTTCGAACAAAGCAGTGGCCATCGCCTCCTTCCACACAGAATGCAACACAAGGATGAGCACACTTGGACAGTGATAAAAGCGGGACCCCGCAGCTGTGGGCTGTGGATGAAGGGTACCAGAGGAAGAGAACCTGCAGTGCTGCACCCTCCCTGCTGGGCCAGCGGCTGTGCAGGGGCAGCGTGAAGCAGGAGGGCAAGGACACAATTCTGCCCATACCATGTGGAGTGTAAATCATGGCCTTACAGGAGCTGACAGGGAGCAGAGGGGAGAGGGGGGAGTGGAGGCCAGAACAAGGGATAAACACGTGGATCTCAGCACACTGAGGGGTGGGAGAGCTGGGAAGGGAAAAAGGTGCAGAGCACAAGATAGGAGAGGTTAGGAGCAAGGGAAATAATAGACAGGGAATGATGGTCAGAGGCAGGAAACACTACAGTCATACCAAAGATGAAGAGGAATGAGAGGTAGGACTGAGGAGGGCAGAGGACCACGGTGAATCATGAGCAGCTGGAAGCAAGGCTCTGGCAGCTGCCTGSCTCAACCATCCTGCCTCAACCAACGTGTGGAGCAGGACGAAGCTGGCCACCACCTCTGGGATTCTCCTCCCTTCCCAGCCAGCAAACACTCCCTCCCAGCCAGCATTCAGCCCCATAAGCTCTCCAGGCTCAGCCAGGCTGGTTGCACTGCCACCAGGACACCTTTCCGATCCTATTCCTTTGCCAGAGCAGCCCCTGAAAGGCTGTGTCAGGGTCTTTGCATATTCTTCTCAACTCCAGCACCATATACAACACTCGCGTGCTCAGTATCTCTCACTAGCTGTAGCCTTCTCTTCCACAAACATCAGTGTTTGCCCCTTCTGAGACCCACCCAAGCCTCCTCCTCCCCCAGCCGGAGCTGCTCCTCAGTGCAGGATGGAAGGACAATTGTTTCTGTCCACATTAGCAGTGTCTTTTTCCCCACCTTCACCTACATCTGTTGTGAAGCCTCCATTGGAATGCAAAAATTGTCTTACTTCGGTTGTTTAGCCTTGGCCCTTGGATAGGCAAACCGTGCCATGCACCTTGGGCAGCTGCATGGGATGCTTCCCAGAAGTGAGGATGCTGTGCCTTCTGATGTGCTGGTGCTGCTCACCTGCCATTCAGCCTCCTTTGCAGAGCCTCAGGAAATGCAGTTCACAAACAAGTACCAAATAGAGTAAAAACAAGCATTTATGTTTTATATAAGCGTTTATTTACAACTTGTTTAACAACTGTACACTCTTCTATCACCTTGGAAGCATTAGTGTATTGACTGGGAAAAAATATTAAACTTTTCAATTCCAATTATCATTAATGAGGTTTTTRTCATCTATATACAGGTATGTATATTAATATTGCTACCATAACAACCTGGTAGTTACACAATTTTGTAGATGAACTGAAATGGGAAATTAATGTTTTGACACTCAAAGAATTCATTCTTTTACAGAAAATATATCACTGGCAACTTCACAAACAGTTACTTTGATAATTGGTCAACATTTAATTCAGGACTGTCAAACAAGCTGCTATTAAGAAGGTTAAGAGAGTTTTCTATGCAGCACAAATGAAGTTAGTATATCAGAGACATGCTGGAGATCAGCTCTGAGTTGAGAGCTCACAACCACTTCATGACAGAGATGCCAGGCTAATCTAATTAAAGTAGCCAGCTCCTTGCTGAAAGCTACTGGCTCCACCTGGCATCTCTCTGTTGCATTAGTAAACTCAAACAACTTTTGTCAAGCTAAACACACTTACATACAAATGTCATCAAGGCTCAAGAACAACTGATACTTAATCTCTAATCTGCACAGACCATTTGGAGAAACAAGGTACTGCTCGGCRTAATTTTGGGACACCCGTGGAGGCAGGTGCACAAAAAAGCAATCCCCTCCTGCCCAGCACAGTGCCCTGATTTCAGGGATCCTGCACCCAGCCTGGCCTGGGGCAGGGTGTGGTCCCAGCCGGAGCAGCACTTGTAAATGAAAAACATACCATGCCTTTAACACCCAACTAAAAGAAGTTTTACTAGTAACACTTGCCCTGACACATAACAAGGGATCAGTGGTTAGGACCTGGAAAGACACAAATTGTTCAGCTCTCTGCTGGACTGAGTCTGATGAAATGCTGCTGCCTCTAATGCAAGAGCACCTGACTTGTAACCACCAAACTCCAGATCCTGGCTGCAGGTCACGTCAGACTTCACTGTCCCTGGCCCTGGTGGACCAGGAAAGACATATCCCCATCTGAAGCCTTTACGGACAGCTGTCAGCCAAGCCCCTGGTAGCCACAGTACCTGATAGAGTATCCAGAGGGGAAAACACCACACAGTTCTCACCGGGATCTTAATGTTTATCCTTCACTCTGCTGCCCGTCTGGCTTGGAGCCCATTCCTACCCACCCACGCCCTTGCCAGGCAGTGCAGAGCACCTCCCTGTGGCGGGGCACACRTCTGTCCCTTCTCCATGTCATTCTGCACAAGGCCACGGACACTGTGGGATCAGGATCCCTGAGGACTAGACACAAGTGGGCACCTCCATGCATGAGGTGCGGCTCTGTCACCAGGGATGAGGCAGGCACTGTGTGTGTGACCAGAAGGGACTGCAGTGACAAGTGGACACGATGTTTCTTCAGCACGGGTGGTGGCCCCATGGCAAACAGGGCTGGTGGCTCTGCTACTGCCTAAATAAGCAAAACCATTCCTGGAGGCAGCAGAGTTCATTTGAAATCAGTATTTCTGGATTAAGATCCAGGTGTGCAAGAGTGGGGTTTCTCTAAAACTGGATTTWAATCAAACCGCTTAAGGTACTCAGCATTCAGACTTTTCAGTTTTTCCAGCAAGTCCTATGGCTTGAAAGCCCCTTTCCCTGTTTGTCACGTACTAACTCCTATACAAAAAACCTTTTAACTTACAACACTACAGCACTCCCTCGTCTTCTGAATCTTGCCAGTACTGGATGTCCAATACAAAACAAAGATACAGTAGTACAAATGTGCAGATATTTAGGAATATTAAATAAGCAGCTTTTTAAATTAATATAGGCAGTACAAAGCATTTTGAGTTACACTGTCTACATATGGCAAATCTTATAGCTAAACTTCAAAATACAAAGAAACAGCCAAGCTAGTGCAATTGGAAATTAAATAGCTAAGACTGTGACAGGAGAAAGAAAAAAAGGAAGGAAAAAAAACAGTACAGGTGAAAGATAAATGATCCAAATTATAAACTGGCAAGGACAGTCTGCATAATACTGGAAGTGTAGATGACTTTCTTACTTATTTCCATTTATGGTCTTTCCTCAGATTGTTTTAACAATTGTACACAGATTGGAAAAAAAGTTTCTGAAAGAAACCAACAACACAGCTCAAATGTAGAGAGAAAAATACAACAGCCACAAACTACTGTGTATATACATATGAAGGAAGCAGGCAGTGCCTGTGAACAAAATACCACCCGGTAGTTTGCCTGGCTCGGAGATTATCGGATGAAACTTGCTTGGTTTTCTAAGGAAGATGGGATCGCCAAGCAGCAATTCATTAGTCATTTCTCCTGGTAAAACACCTCCTTCGCTTTACTTTATTTGTTTAAAGATTCAAAGTGGATCCTTTAAGGGTGCAGGTGCTTTGAAATTTTAACAGTTATCAAAAGGCCTTTTTTAGGAACTCATTAAGACTAGATTTTTATAGTTCAGTAAATTAAAATGTTGCAGGAAGTCTGTGTGTTAATACTGTTAATCAGAATTAAATGAAGTGGACAGGCGGAAGTAAGATGGAGAGCTGACAGTGCTCTGTCAGTTTGCAGAACGCCTCCTGTTGAGCTGTGAATACTGGATTTCCTCTCTTCTAGCCTCATAGGAGACTTTTTGTGAAGAGAAAGAGTAAATGGAAGTGGGAAATGGGAAAGCCACTCCCCAGGATGGTAAGCTTCGCTGCAAGTAGATCCCCCTTTGAAATCAGATGGCCATGAGTCTTAAGTGTAGAACTGGTTAAGTTTTGGTTATGCAGTCTGGACAGAAAAGCAAGTCATGCACTGAACAGTCCCTGTTATAATAATGCTGCAGGTCATGCAACCACATCACTGCAAATAAAAGAATAAAGAAGAAAGTTAAAAAGCAGATAACATATTATTGTTGAAAAAAAAAACCCCAAAACAACAGAGAACAGAACAGGTCTTTTAAAAAGCAGTTTAGTAAGGCCACCTCTATTTAAGAGTTGTGCAAATTCATGGGGAAAACATCTTTGCCAAGCAACTCTTCAAATTACAGGCCAATAATTGGAAAAAGCAACAAAATAGTCTTGGTCAACATCTAAATTTAGCTATAATTAAACTTTACACACTTCTGAGTAAAATGCTTCAGGGCACCATTCTCAGCTAATAAAGCTACGGAAAGTAAGTTTACACAGCAATGAGTAAGTCTCAGGCATTCCTGCTGTCTGTGAGTACAACTGTTAAAGAACCTAAGCAAGATAAAGTGAAAGATGCCTACCCAGCACTGCACSTGTTCACACGCTAAAAGACAATCAGAATCATAACCACTGTCTTGAGCTCTGAGCACCACTGAAGGCATTTAAATTCCATCAGAGCTCATCGTGTGCATGAGGCTCAGTATCACTGCCCATTGTACTGTCAAGTTCTGTCCATTGCACGCAAATACAGGTTTGAATTGCCAGAAAATGGTAAGTGTTCTTATTAAAGTAAGCTGAGTAGGAGCCACTGAAAAGTTGAGAGCACCCCACACTGCTGTGGAAGGGAATCAGAGAGGTTGGCAGTTCTCCATCCTCACTGATGCACTCTCTTTCTTGGCCAGGGTAACTGGAATGCAATGCTTTACTGACATAGCTACAGTGCTTCTACTTCCCCCAGGTAACACAAAAGTCCCTACACAGCACTAAATTTTTGTTTTCATATTGCAAAGAGCAAATTGGCTTCACCAAACTTAAATTAGAGCCTCTTTCCCCACTTCCTTCTCCCTTGTATTGCACTGGTCAAAAATTATTCTAAGRATGCTTCTTGTAATGGGACAAGCCAGGTTAAACAGATAAAAAAGAATATGTATGCTACAAGTCTTGTAGCTTTTTTTCCTCAGAATACTAACCATAGTTGAAAAACAAATAGAAACAAAGAGACACATATCAAATGGAATAAAAAGTTCAACACGTTCAACACATTTAAAGGCCTTGAGGGTRTATTTTGAGCAATCATTGTCTTTTAAGCTTGCTTGGCACTGCTTGGTGCATAAAGTTAGACAGTTCAGGATTAATACGAAGAACACTGTAGTTAGTCTATAAAAAAATTAAAGTTCAAGCTATGTAAGCATGTACCTATTCTATTGTACATAAATGAATATAATCTAGTCCTTTAGTCTCACCTGGCTAGTATTTAGTTCAAACTTACTACTTAGTAGCACTTCAAGTGTATGCTGCACATACACAGAAATGACACTGTAGGTTTCTCTTTGAGTCAATAGTACTTTTGAGAGGTCTTGTAAACTCAGGACACTATTATCTTTCAAGGATGTAAAAGCTCATCTGTTAATGCTCTTTCCAGACTAGAAATTTTTATCATGTTCTAAGAATACTTGTCTGTCAATTTCTTTATTTTAAAGCCACCTGTTGAGGCAGCAACACTTAGAAGACATCAGAGATGCAAGATCTGAGCGTAAATTCACTCARCAGTAAATTCACTGTCACTGCATTTGCAGCATGTTTGGAAAGAGCAGCAGATAATCTGTCTAGGGAGGAGTGACAGGGAGAATACAAAGCAGACTACATATTTTTTAAATTGTGGCCTTATAAGGTAATGCTTAAAATTCTAAGACTTATACTGCTAAACAAATGCTTTAAAATCTCCCTCAAAACCACTGATGCCTCCAGGAAATAAGTTTCRTTTCCAGCTTACTAACCTTTTGTGGCTGTGAACAATAATCTCTGCTTTACAATATTTAAAATTATATAACAGATGTTACATTCAAGTCCAAATCAAAGGTCTAATAGTCTCATTATAACTATTTTATAATCCCATAAATACAAATATTACACCACTGGGGATTTTCTCCTAAAATTCCATCCACTTTCATGATCAGGCTAACAACATGAGCACACTAGCAGTAACACTTGGCCTTTATGTAAGTTTTCTCTTCAAGTTAGACATAATCATTAGGGATTCAAGTTTCATTTCCAGAAAAAACTACTCTATACCTGTAGAAATACTTGCTTTTGCATTGTTTCAGGTTTGTGTCATGCCAAACTAAGTAGTTAACAGTTCTTCAGAGTACTGACAAATGTCTGCTTTTGTAACGATTAAAAYAACCACATTCCTCTTTCTGAAATGTGATAGTCTAATCTCATCTGATAGTAAAGGCAAAGCAAGGAATAAAGTCAGCACTGATCTGTATTTCCCTCTACTAACAGTAATTTTCATGGATCAGCATCTGAGACTCATAGCCTCTGAGACCCATAGCAGCAAGGAATTTTTATCTGACAAATGGAATCTGCTTTCAGTCTGGAAATGACACCACATGCCAAGGGGACTGAAGGATACACAATTTTCCAAACAACTTTACACCCATAGTAACAGCAGCAAACTCCTGATTTGCCATCAAAGCCAACTGATGCAGAAATACACTACAGCATAGTCCTGCACTACCTTGGTGAGGCCCTAAGATGAAGGCAGAATCTGGACCACAGYGAAGCAGCAACACCATCCCTCAGCTATGAAAAGATGAGGACTTCAGTTACAGCAGTCAGCATGAGTTCCTACAGATCCACTGACTCCAGTCTGACACCACGACGATTTATCTGGGAAGCTGTCTTGGCTCTACTGCCAGGCGTTGTTTCAATGCCCCAKGAAACAGTATGATTTGTCAAGTTATCTACAGCCTCTCAATCAACATTCATTCCCTAACTAATTCAATGAGCTGATGCATTTTAAAAATGAACTTTATGTCCCAATATTTTAATGAATCCACAAAAATAAAGTCAAGGAAAAATAGAGGATGAAAATCCTCAGCATCTCCAAATGGTACAACGGAGCTGGCAGCAGAGTCAAAATTTCCAATCTTTTGCCTAACCAGATGCAAGAAGTCTGAGGCTGCAGTGGCTGACAATGACAGCCTCTGTCTTATACACAAGTTATACTTAATCAATTAAAATAAAAAATTTATTAAAAAGATAAAAACATAGCCCAATATGCTCAGGTTCTTTTTCACTTGTTTTTAAATGAACACCAAAATGCAAAATGGTGAGGTACACTGCTCTTCTGATTTTTGTACTGAYTAGTTGCTTGCATCTGTCTCCCCCATTTTCAAACTGAAGAAATCACACCTTATTTTTAGTTAGAGCCTGCAGAATCACTGACAAGCTTCTGCTACTTTTCTGCACTTCAGAGGAAAGAAAGATCACAGGAGCAGGGCAATACAATCAGCCATGCCAGGATATGTTCTTGATTCCCTTAAAGTGGCAAACAGGAGGCATGGCTAGGATCCTACCTAGAATCTGACATTTGTTCCAAAAAACTCTGCCACCTGGAAGTGGTGATAAACTCTTTCAGCTATTTATTTATGCAATGTCAGTTGAACAAAATGCCTGCAAATTTTGCTAAAATTGGTTAGGAGATATTGAAGTTTATCAATACAATCTTACTGCAAAACACAAAGTCCACATTCTATGTAAAACACATGTGCAAAAACCCATAAGAAGTCAGTATTGCATAGCTGACTGAGTGCAAAAATACCTCCCTCATCAATCCTTGCAAAATTCAATCTGTTGGGCAAGAATAAAAAATTCTCTATACAATAAGTAAAACTGAAACACTGTTCTGCTTCACAAGAAAAAGTGACGTTATCCACATTCAAGACAGTCTTCCTCCAGATCACTAACAAAAAGAAAATCAAGTGGTGACATTAAAATATCTTCCTACTACCAAATCTACAGAAAATGTCAACGCAATAGGACTATTAAACTCACTAAAATCATTCAGGAAGCTGTTAAGTGTATAGTCTGATATATTAGGGAAGACAGGAAAAGCGAAAGCTACTTGTACACAAGTAGGTCAAAATATGGAGGACCTTAWAATTGCCAAAAACTTCTAAATTTTCTTAACAGCTTACACATACCACTTACTATCTGAGATCATAACAAAGCAATAATAGGAATATTCACCATTAATTCTTTCATACACATACAAAAATGCCAGTGCTCCTTGCAGAACAGAGAGCCACAGAAAACTTGCAGAAGCATTTCTGCTGACACAAGTGACACTTGAAAAGGACAGGACTGCTATTTGATTATTTCCAAGCAGAATGAAAGGCATCTTGTAGCCATTATTTATTTATTTCATTTCGCAATACATAAAGGTGGATATTCCATGTATGTGCCTTTGCACTGTGGGTGGAACACACAACCTTTAAACTAATTACCTCATTAAGCAGCACTTAGAAAGTATCTGTCATGATCCAAGTGGTTATGTGTTGCTATCAAGAAAACAGGCAACTTGAATATTTTTTTTTCTGTAATGTCTGATCAGAKATGCTAAAAACTTAACTCTCCACAAGTACATGAGCTGGACTACACACACATCCTTTTAGATCAGAAATGAAGCTTCAGCTCTGAACAATAAAATTATTTTTCCATTTATCTGTTACCTTTTATTGGCATTAACTAAAATTGGTCAGAAAGATTATTCTGAGCAGAGCCTCACCACAGTGCCCAGAAAAGTACTCTCAGGAACTCCTCAGCTGTTTTATCACTGCCCTGGAGAACCCTTTCTCTTTAAGCTCAGTTGTAGGGGTTTTCTCTCTAATGTATCAGAGAGGACAGGATACAGTATTGGCTTAGCAATTACCACTACAATTTTGATATAAATAGTCTTCATTGCCTCAGGGAAAAATGTATTCCTAAAAATTTCTTAGAACTGTCTAGTGTACTGAGAGAATTCTGTTTCACAGGCTGGGATTCTTCCTTATATTATTTATTACTAAAGATAAGGCAAATAGAGAACAGTCACTGGTAGCTCCCCTACGTATCTATTTATTCCCTGGAGTCAYGGTCTGAGCTCTTTCTGTTTCTTAATACACACTGCTTCCAAAGCTGCCTAATAAGCAAGGAAAATGATGAAGCTGAACCCTTTGAACAAAGAAGTTGTTCTTGTGAAAGAGAAGGTTTAATGATATTCACCACTTGTATTCATCCACGCACAAAGATTAACAGTGGATGTATGCAACAAGTTAAAGAAGTAAAGCACTGAAGACCAAAGACTTAAACTCCTCTTAATTACTAATAGAAGACAGAACAAATTACTTACTGGAACTGGACAGCAACCAAGCACATTTCTGTAAGAGCACAGTATGTTTTTAGGTTTTTATATTCAACACAAATTCTGGGAAATACCAGAATTTCTGCAAGTTTGTAAATTCTAAAGACAGAATGATTGTTCGTTCACTTGCCTAACAATTACCATGAGCAACAAAAACAAGTAAAGGTCAGATTCAGTATGAGTCTTATGCTGCTCTTTGATGCTATATAATGATGCTATCTGTTTTTTGAAGTGAGCTACAGAAASCACTTCAGTGTCTTATCTTGAGGGAAAAGGAAAGACAGAATCACAAGGCAGAAGAAAAGCCATCAAGCATCAAGAAGCAGAAGCCAGGAGAGATTGGAAAGTAAATGCATGACAAGGCTTTTAACCAGCATCTGTTCATCTTGTAACTCTTAGGGGCATTAGCCTGTCATCAAAATTATGGAGGCAAAACAGTAAAACAAATATTCATGCAATAAAAGGAATTACTTTCATCCTAATGTGCTGATTGTGTTCAAGTTCTTTTAGACCTGCACCTAATTAACAGTAATGGGGAATTAAATTACTAGACAAAATTGAAAGATAAAACTTCCCATTACGGTCCCTCCCTCTCTTTCACAAATAGCCCTTGGCAGTTCAGTAGTAGAAAAAGACAGGTAGATTAAAATTAAAATGGAGCTTTTAGGTATTCGTAGGTTCTTGCTCTGGCTGCTATAAAATACTCAAACAAGATCATCAAATTCCCTCACAGGAATGATCTTACTTGCTCCTGTTCACATACAGCATGTGGTAAAGAGTTCATTAAGTTACTAAAATTGATTGCACAACAAGATCAGTAGAAGATGTCCCACACAAACATCATCTTTAGTTATCATCTAGATAACTAAAGATAGCATTTTGTATACAGAGCATTTTGTAGGTCAATGAGAGACTGCAGATTGAGTATATCACCTCACTGAGCTCCAGAAATTATCCATTACTTCCTTTACATTGTTACCGTTCTGTACACAAGAAACTTGCAATGTCTCCCCTAATTTTTGCAAGCACAGACCATACCAGTGATACACTGAGTAAGTACAGAAAATTCTTAGGAAACCATTTTTTTTCCAAACATGAGGAATAAAAGACAAAACTATGTGTAGAATTCAACACTTATTTTTCTGGGATGGGGTGTAACTGGACCTGATAATATTTTTCAGGCACATGATGAATGCATTTCTTAGCCCAAATTAAAACAGGTGATGTACTTTAAGATAAAAAAATGGTACCTAAAAATGTCATTCACCTGTTCATTAACCTTTAATCTAGGTGTGCTTGTTTTAATTACCCTTTGCTCATTCTACCCAAGTTGTGAATTGAGACATTCAGATGATTGATAAATGCTAGTATGTTGTTTCTCTAAAGGGATTTATGCAAAAATGTTTTCACTTGTAGGGCATTAAAATTAGGTGAGAGAAAAAATTTATAAACTAATTGCATGTGCATTAAAGTCCGAAGAGTCTCAAGTGAAAACTGTTTAAAACTAAATCACAAGACGTTTGTATATGAAATTTGCAGCCAATACTCAGGTTCTCTGTGTCCATCAATTCTTTGACAAAAGGATAAGGAATGCATAAACTATTCAGATAAAAAGCACAACTTTCAGGAACAGAATCTAAATAGGAGGAGCCTCCATCCACTGATCAACATGAAGGTGCTACAACAATTAATCAGCTACACACTAAAAAGGCAGTATAACAAATCACAGCCAGTTTCCAACGAAGTCAGCAATTAACTCACCTGAAGGCACTGGTACCATTAGTAAGGCAACTGATACAATTATACCCTGAATCAATATATTAAAACCAGTAGGGGATGTAGGGGATGACAATTGGAATAATATTAACTGGGGCCTTGATCCATCAAGTATTGTTCATTCATAATTACGAAATTTTAAAATGTCCTTTTTAAATGGATGATAGAGTAACCTATTAGCACATTCTACTTCTCCACCTTTATAGAATACGCATTAAAGCATACACTTGACAAAGAGGAGTGGAATAAACCATTTGAAAATATTCTTCTCTACCAGCAACAGGTAACACCAGYTGATAAAGAAAAATCTGGAAAAAAATAATCCTGCTTCCCTACATGCCAAGCATAAGATCAAACTTTGAACCCAGGAGATTAAAAAAACCCCAAAACTTTCTTTTTTTGCATTGCTGAGGTTTTTAGTATGAAATATATTTCACAATAATGTAATAATCTAACTTTGCATTTCTGTAATGAGATTTCAGTGTTTTTCTGAAGCAACGGGTTAGGACATAAAAAGCTTAATTCCCTTTGAACAGAAACAGTCTTATAAAGCATAACAACCCTTATAGGCACAAAAGTACCAACTGTGACAAGAAATCTACACTGTCATATAGTCTACATGAGGTTTTTCATAAGAGACCAGGCTTCATACAAGTAAGACTSTTATTATACAGCACTCCTCTAGATGTTCGCAAAATTTTGGCACATTCAGAAAATGCAGAAAGAAATGAACTCCAAAAAATACAAGCAAAGGGCATTACAGAACAATGAGAAAGCATAATAAAATCCCTTCCTGAACTGTAAAGTAATAGCAGTTACAAGGGAGAAAGAGAAAGGATGCTGGTTTATTTTCCTTGAATGTTGTCACTTGCAATAGAAGTGGCCTGGATCACAGGGCAGTTTTCTTTCTAGGGGCAAGGCTTCTCTACCTTGCTGTTGCTGGCTGGACATGACCAGGGTAAGATCTCCTTGTGCTCGTGGCTTGCCTTTGTCTAGCCAGGAAGGACTGTCCTGAGCCTGTACTAGCCAGTCTGTCTTCTGCTGCTTTTTTATGCAGAGTCATCCCCTGTGGACAAAGAGAAATTCTTAGTGAATATGAATACAGAACACTGAACAACTTTATTTATTTACATTTTGTTCATTATTTCTGTCTTCACACTTACTAAACTATTTCGGATTCTCTACACACACAGCATATTTTCAAGGATAAAGGTATGATAGTGTTCTAATACTTCACATGGAATTCTTCTGCTTCCCCCCAGTCACTCTTCAGGTTTAGAGTAACCACCTTAGAACTCAATATGTGCTTTTCTCACAAACACATGGTAATTGGACATTTCTTTTCAAAAGGGCTCCCCCAAGGTTCCCATGTTGAGCTAGAAAAGTACTTTTCTTCTGAAAAATGTTTAGGTATTGTCATCCTCTGTGGAAACACCAGCTTGTACATCAGAAACACATCTTGGGAGACAACATGTTTTCATCAGCCAAAATTGCAAGGAAGAAATTAAGAAAGCTGTGAYGGGTTGTGCAGCTGTGTATAAAAGCAGGGGCTAATTAAAGAATGATACAGACAAAGCTATCAGTGACCATCTTAGTGTTCATGATAGGCCACTGAACTGCAAGTCTTCCCTCAGGCTTGTCTTTTATTTGTTAGTAGAACTAATGTTACAAAATTGGCCAAGGACACCAGTCACTTGAAAAGACCTTCAATGTATAAACAACTCAAGAACTCAAAAAMTACTTGACTTTAGACTTGCTATTCATGAACACAACAAGGATATAGAACAGCAAGATGGAAACTTTTCCAAGGGAATATAGAAGAGGAATTTGAATTCTATGATGGAGCAGAATGAAACATGAAAATTACAGATGTCAAGGAGTCTTTCTATATGAAGAGCAGTTTCAATGAAACCAGTCTACCAAAGGGAAGTCTTGAACACATCTGATGTGGGTGACAACTCTCCTGGCACACAGGCCCCGCAAAAACTGTATGGCTGCACAGATTATATCTTCTATTGAAATAAATTGTATGAATAACTTAAGCGAGGGTTCTGCTGCTGTCCTCACTCCTTGTATGGGCCTAAATCTGCGCTCTAGTTAAAGGGATCATTTCTCAGAGAACTTAAGCTGAATTGCAAGTAAGCTGAATTGCTGTGATTGCACCCATTCATCAGAAACAATTCAAAGACTGGAGAGTGGTGAAGCAAAGAAGAAAGTAAATTTGAGCACTGTCATTTGTATAACTGAAAGAGTGGGATTACAAAATGGTGATCTAAGCTGTTTCTGAATGTAAAAACTGAAAATTACAAACATTTTTTTTTTTATTTATTAAAAGATTATTATAGGAACATACTCTTACACAGAGATAACTTAAAATTACTAAAAAGTGGTTCTATGTTTGTGTGTTGAAAAACACTTTTCAAACAAAAAATACTGTAAATGAATGAGTGCTGTTACAAATATGCCAGAAAAACTAGTATTAATAGTTTCTTTCAGGTTTTTTTTTCTTTTTAAGTAGAAAGTGTGGGGGATTCTTACCATGTTGTACCAGGCACTAACGATAAATTTCTCCTCCATTTCTCTTTGACTTTTTGTTTTCTCATATTCTTTCTGAAAAACATAAAAAATCAACATATTGAAAGCCAAAGTATAAAAGAAGTATCAGTCTCTAACTAAAAAGCAATGAGCTTTTACTAGAAAACACACGGATTACTACCTCCAGGGAATGAAACATTCTGTCTCGCTCCTGCAACTGATTTTTCAGCGCCTGAATCTCAGGAGCAGCACCCTGGTTCTGTTTAGGATCTAATGTGCGGATGACCTGTAAGAGAAAACCAGTTTGTTTTTTATTAAATCCTGTAAAAATAATCACGTTAAGGAATTCAAAACTTTAAAGTCAAGTTAAGAAATTTTTTAAAAGTGACTTAAAATATGTCTACCTCTGTCATCAACCATGGCATACGAGAGCATCTAAACAGAGCCTTTATTACAGCACTGTGAAACAAAACTACTGACATGAAAAAGTGAACTAAAAGGTTCAGTATCCTAGACTCACATTTGCAGTTCCTAACCCAGGCTAGATTACCTTGGAGCCATGGCAATGGAAACATCTATAAGGTTTCTCTCTTTATAGCTATGGTGTTCCTGCCTGTCAGTTTCTCCTGTTTGAGGAACGACTGCTTCTATCATTATGGATATTTGCCATGATTCACTTACCTGGGGTACCAGGTGCTGTAATTTTTAGGTAGCTCTGTTACATCAAGCAGCACTCTGTGGCATATGCATAATAATTATGTTACTAATAAGACGAGGCGACACCTGGTTACATTTGTAGGTGTCATCCAAGAGTACCACCAGAGCTAAACCAAGAACAAATCAGCAMAATGCCAGAATTATTAAGCCTTTAATAGAAAATGGCATAAAACCTTTTAATATCCTCTGGCTATATAGAAAGAGACTTCTCATCTTTTGTCTTTCTACCTATTTCAGAGTTGTGTCCAGATGTTAAAATAAAGCTATGCCTTGAATTTTAGTGAGACATTCTTACTGTAAGTTAAATGCAAGTCCTGTGAGGAGTGGCTGAGGGAGCTGGGGGGGTTTAGCCTGGAGAAAAGAGGACTCCAGAAGCCCTTATCACCTTAAAGGTGGCAAGGAGGTTACGCACCACTTAAAAGGAGGTTGGCTCCTTCTCCCAGGCAACCAGTGACAGAATGAGACAACAATACAGCCTCAAGCTGTGCCAGGGGAGGTTTAGGCTGGCTTGTTAAGCATAGGAATGGGTTGCTAAGGGATATGGTGTAGTCACTATCCACTGGATGCGGCACTTAGTGCCATGGTCTAGTTAACATACCAGTGATYAAAGGCTGCACTTGAAGATCTTGGAGATCTTTTCCATCCTAAATGATTCTATGATTCTATTCTATTCGACAACAGTATGYTATTTTTCTAAGAAAATATTCTTTAGATCTGGATACATTTTCCATAGTGAAAGACTATAATGATTCTACTGGTCTTCACAAAAGAAACCCTCACCAAAACCCATCAATAACAACGAGAAACAAAAAAACCCCAGCCCCAAACCAAACACAAATAAAACTCAAAATGAAAGTTAATAAAAAGATTACAAAAAGTTAGCCTAATTAACTATGTATGTTATACTGCTGTTATGTAAAATACCCTACAGTAACACAGTACATACAAAACCAAACCTTGCTGAAAAGGGAAAAGCTGTCTTTCAGTGGAATATACTCTGAGGCACCTAAACCAAAATCAAATGGGGGCCAGGGAAGAAATTTGTTTAGACTTCCTGAAGACATTTCACAAGAAATCATTCAGGAAACTACACAGAAGTAAAGGAAGAAAGCATAAAGTTGTGCCAGATTAAGAACCTACTTTCACATTTCAATGTAGYGATAGGTATCCAAAGCGATATGCTTTTAAGAAACTCAAGTAAAATAGTGAAGTATAATAAGAGAAGGAATAGGATTATGATTAAGACCACAATATTGCCATTTCAAAGCTAGTACTATATCCCTATCCTCTCTACTTAAACACTAATCACCTTCTTGACAGAAGCATATACAAAGCAATAAAGGCAAAGAGAATGCTCAATATCCTCAGAGAAATAGAACAACTCTTGAAGGTGGTCCAGTCCAAAAGATCACTTTACTGAGAAAAAGCATCAATAAAAGAGTGGTAAATGGGGTAAAATCCTCTGCAGAATTAATCTATTACAAGTACTGAAACAGTAAGATGATACACAATGGGCCTTCCTTCTCTTTTACTTGTTAGTGTGTATACAGGTACCTCCTTCATTTTTATTACCACGGAGTGGACACATAATACAGTCTGTCACAAAGGGACATTAACACGAAACACATTTACTTACACTTTTGGCCTTTTCCAAATACTTCTTGTATCGTTCTTCCATTTGCTTCATTTCCTCCTCCTTTTTCCGTAAAGCTTCTTGTAATTCCTCAATTTTAAGTGCTTTATGTCAGGAGAAGCACACATTGGAAAATAACGTCATTATACAATGCATAGTTTCATGTTTCACAACAGATATTTAGGACACAACTAAAATATATTTCAGTAAAAAAAAGCTGACATAAGAAACCTGATGTAGCAGATATCACAGATTTAATTACTGTACACCTCAGAAACACATTAAAAAGATGTACTCCTATATAATATCATAAAATGGATTTTTTTGACATAATTTTGCTTCTTAAAATTATGAAAAATAAAGAGAAATGGAATCATAAAACATATTACTGAACACATTTAGAAAATTAATTTATTAATAGCTTATAGCAACTATAAAATCTTGAGATTAATACAGACAAAAACAATTTTTCTGTTTTTTGAAAGACTAATGATTCCTAATAGGCAAAACTACTGCTTAAATCTGCTAAACTATAACATAGACAAATCTATCAGAAATGAAATATGAATATACTAAATCTAATTTCACCCTCAGCTAAGCAGCTATTGAGATCAGTAGGACAATTTAACTGCACAGATTTTTCCTGTGTTGGTGTAAGAATATTTCAAGGCACTATTACTTCTACACAACTTCTCAGATTCCAGAAATCAAAATTCTATTTATTTTTCCTCTATCTCGCTATAAATAAAATTATTTTACCACAAACCAGAAATGCTGCCATTGGTTACATCTTTTGCCTTGTTCTATAATAAATAGTCTTTAAAAAAACCCAAATTACCTCCTTTGTTTCTTTTCCAGAAAAAACGTACAATAATATGCTAAAAACTAGATGTTGGGTTTTGCATACCCCCTGAGCAATACTATACATATCTTACATTCTTTTTGACCAGTGACTGAAAGTTTTCTCAAAGAACAACACATTATTTAAAACACATTGAAGGAATATATATTGGAAGTAAAAATAAGCTAGTGAAAGCAGCAAGGTTCTTCTAAATTAGGATCTTATCAGACATGACAGTTCTGGACAGCTKAGGTTCAGTGGCAGATATGACAGTGAACTGGTATTTGTTCAGCCATTATTATTGGGGTTTGGGACTAGATCTCTTTTAAATTTCTTTCTAACCTCTTAGCATTCTTTGATCCAATGATTTCAGCACAAGAGTACTTTCTAAAACGTGATCCCATGTATTTCAGGTGTTAAAAGCATCTTTTTGGTCACCATAGTTTCCAGAGAAATTAACAACATACATGTCACTTCCATTAAAAATGTACATTTTGCTTACCTGACACCTTCTTTAGGTATTATAATTAAAGATACTGCACATGAAATAATTTACAAAGAAAAGAAATGGACTGCACAGGTAACTCACAACTGTTGTTGCATCTTGGTTCCAAATCTTCAATAATGGCTCGTTTCTTCTGTAGCTCATTGTTAGCTTCATGGAGCTTCTCACTGTTACAAACCACAAAAGCACATATTGTTTCCAGTAGTATTACTGTGCTTGAAAAGAGCACTAAGCAGTACAGAAAATCCTCAGAGAGATTATTTCTAAGGGCATGACTGATTTTTTTCTGTGGGGCATGAGGACAAGTGACAATATCACTGTAGAAACATTTGTTAGATAAGATGAAAAACATCATTCTGTACAGAGAACTGCAGCTGCTTCTTTGTCAGTAACTGTAATTAATTTAGAACTTAGARTTAATTGCACAATGAGGGCCTAAAATGAATACTCATAACTGATACTACACTGAGAAAAAGTGGCTAAGCCCAAAGGCAACAGGAACTTCTTTTTGCAAGCCAGTCAAAAAGCAAATACTCTTTTCGGGAAGTAAAAGATATGCAAAAATAGCACATCAAAATGATAGCACTTCCTAAAGTATTACATTCTAAGCCATAATGTATATTAAAGACTAAACAAATTAATTTTGCCTATATTAACATGTTTTCTAAAAAAAAAAAAAAAATACTTATTCCTCTTCAGCAAACATTTGCAGAATGTTAAGCAAAGTTTTCTACCCAACACAAAATGATGGTTCCCTCATCGCTCTAACTTTCACAATGATTTTCGGTGAGGGAAAAATAGAATCTGAACAGCAGATACCCAAATATTCCTGTGTTACCTAATCTCTCTTAGTTGTGTATTTGCCATATCCAGATGGATATGGAAATGTCTGCCTTCCTCACCACATGGAATACACATAATTTCAAATTGCAAACAAAAGAAGACAAACAAAAATACTTACAGATGTTCTTCAAGTTTCTTTTTCAGAAGAACTGACTAAAATAGAAAGTTAAATGTTTTGTTTTAATATATTGTGAAGTTTTAATGTACTTTAAAAATTACTTWTAAACATACAATTTTGGCATTCTAACCAAAATCCAACTTTTTTAGTTCAGTTTTAGATCACAACTGTAAAGCCTCTGTGGTAGCAACCTTTCTCTTCACAGTTGTGTGACTTTAGTAAAATTGGAACCCTTTAGAACTTAACAAACATTTTCCCAGGAACTAGATCAATAAAAGCAATATCCATAAATGAAACAATTCTAAGGCAGTTGTTTTAATTCACTCAGTACTTTGTATTGGAAAGTGCAGCAAAATTTGAAAAAAAAGCTGTCCTACCAATATAGCATTGCAACTTGCATGAAGATGTAGCAAATTAGTTGAAGWAAATTCCCATCCCCACAGAAACTAGAAGGAATAGAGTATTTCTAACAGGACTACAGCAAAAATTTCACCTTTTTTGTGTTCCTTAAATTTAATGATTAAGACACATAAAAATCACTGTACAACTTACAGTGTTCCACTTTGCAGGTAAAGCACATTTAAATAAGCTCTTGGAATGAAAACTTAGAATTAATTTCGTAATTTTAAACTCACTTCATACCAAAAAAAAGAAAAGCAACAAAACCAACCAAACCCAATAAATGTCTATGAACTGAAAGTAGTGTTAAGTAAATAGAAAGCCATACTCACAATAGCCTTGAGCAGAAGCCCATGCCAAGAAACAGAGATGACATTAGTATAAAGCAAAACAGCAGCCAACAGAAGAAACTATTTAGAAAGTCATGAACAGAAAAAGTTAAAGCTATGTATTTTTCACATATGTGCAATTTTTTCCTCTGTTGTCATGAGCAATTCATCCTGTAACATTTTCTAAAACATGTCACTAAACCCAAAAATATAAAAATAATGAAGAAGTACATTTATAAATAATTGTGTTCAAACCAGAATTCCAAAGCAGAGCAAGTGCTATTTTGGAAAGTAATTTTAAAACAAAAATCATACAAACCAACAGAATGGAGGAAAATAGCCAGTCTGTTAGGCTACAGTCAGAATTATGAGATGCAGGTGCTTTTGTGGTGTGATGCTGAATTGTGTTATTGCCACACTGATTGAATACAAAGCAAACGTAGAATATCTAAATCTCCAACTGCCTTTTTGGTTTCTATTTATCCAGTATTAATCACACAGAAGGTTGATCATGTGGCTGATGGTCCAAAACACCATCAAAATATAAGATAAAGTCATCAACGAAATTACATCGTTGTTTTTTCTCCAATGTTCTTTTAACAAAGGTTTAGACACCTTGCTAAGAGAAAAAATTACTGTGTGCACTCAAAAAGCTTTTTAGTTTGGTAATACTTCAACATACTGGTTTTGATCACATTCCTGGGATGTGTTGTTTCATTATTTCAAAAGMGATTTTCTTATCACATGACAAGAAAGGTGGGGAGCCACAAGAACAAGCCAACATAACTCTATTGACTTCACAGTCAGAAATTTGCAGCAGCTAAGGATCTGCAGGTTTTGACCATCTGGCTTTTTTCTTTTCCAGTCCCCTGAACAAATGCAACACCACTTTCTCTGTAACAAAAAATACTTGTATGCAACTTTCTCAGTCACAAATCATTTGAACTGTCCCCATCACTTATATCCAATTATTTAGGGGACTACTGGCTGGCTGGGACAAGAAAGGGAAAAAGTYGGAAACAGTGCATTTCCCTAAGGTAGGAAAATCAAAACTGAATTCAGCTTGCCTTTTGCAATCCCTGTATTGCGCTTGGGTTTATCTTGAAACAACGAGTAGGACATCTTCAACTAAATCAGGTTGTTTAGAGCCCTGCCCAATCTGGCCTTGAGTATTCCATGGAYAGGGCATCCATAATTACTAGTCACCATTGATTCAACTGGCTAGCACCTGCACTGTTGTGGGAGTAACCTCTCCCATCTAGATAGATTATGTTCTCACAAGCAAGAAATTCATTGTGATAAACAGCACAAACAATTAAAAGAAGCAGAACTGAGTTTACTCACATTAATTCACCCAAGACACATGATTAGGAAAAAGACTAAAACACTAAATGTGGTGTTTCAGGCACTCAAAGATCCTGTATATACTTGGCAGATAAATTAAAATAAATTACTCTGAAAACAGGCAAACATTACTTTTAGGATTTTTTCAGTATYAGTAAGCTTTAAAGACTCATACACAAATCTGAAAGGTAATTGCTTGTAATTGTTGTTCTCTTGTAGGAAGACAAGTCTTCAAAAACCATTGAAATAGAAGTGTTTTTGCTTGAAATTTCTTTCATGCTTRAAACAAGCCAAAGGAGCGAGTCTGTCCCCATTATCAAGACAACATTTGGTTTTGTTTTACATGGTAAGGACATGGGCAGATGGCTAGGCTCTGGTCTGAGGTTAAGCTAACTTAAGTTGCTTAGCAGGGTATGGCACATACTCTGGGACATCATTTTAGAAGACTGCTTGATGAGAAMAATAATGCTGTGAGGTGGTGATAAAAGTTTTAAAGCAGCACCATGACATATGGTCACACTGCAACAATGTTAAAAGTAGTGATAGTGTGGTTTGGGTTGGAAGGGTCTTCTAAAGGTCACATAGTCCAATCCCTCACAATGAGTAGGACATCTTCAATTAAATCAGATTGTTTAGAGCCCGCCCAATCTRGCCTTGAGTATTCCATGGATGGGGCATCCACAGTTACCCTGGGCAATCTGTTCCAGTGTTTCACCAAAATGAACAAAGTGCCTGAACTTCATGGGWAACTGAAGTGGTAACAGAGCTCTAGGGACACTTTAGGGAGGTGTTGTATCAGTAACAGCATGTAAGGCCAAGACTGCATATGTACATTATGAGAAACATTAGGCATGGGATGGATTTAGCAAGTGGGACAGAAGTGACTTAAGGCAGGGTGTTTATGTAGGAAGGAATTAGGGCAAAGAACAGGAGAACAAGGATGATAAAGGACAGTGATAAGACATGCAAATGATTTAGTTGAAGCTGTTTGGGATAACTGTTGAGTAGTTCCACATGACTACTGCATTCTGAAGGACAATAAATCAAACCTATTCTGACTACAGCACACACACCTGTATTCTGTAGTCTGGAAGACCGAGCTAGGGAGGCCTTTCCCTGGCTAGTATGATAACACCCACGATGGACTAATCATGCATCCCAACAGAATATGTCAGTGTTCATTACAGGCTCAGTGGTACTGATACCTTTTGAACAGCTGCCTTCTACTGAACTTCAATACAAAATCAAAACTCTTTGCCCTGGCACACAGCACGTATTACTGCAAGGACTTGCCTGGGTTTGGACAGTATCTCTATGTGTTTTGGGGCATGTCTCAAAATAACTTCAGCTTTAACACCAAGCAAAACTTAAAGAAAACCCCAAAAAACAACCAAAACCCAACAAAAAAAAGCTCTGAGCTCTCAACATACATTTTGGAACTGAATTAAAATGGACTGTCAGTTTTCTGGATTAAGCACATTTACAGCACAAGTATGTAAAGATACAAATTTCAGTGCATTGTTGCAGAAAAATAGTAAAACCCAGGAAATTAGCTGAAAATTATGCATCAGTGAAATGTATGCTATGTCTCTCCTAATATTTTTTCACATGTTTCTGAAGAATGACTCTTTTTGTATGGATATTCTACAGATAACTCAGGTAATCTCAACAAAATTTCCATCTACTTGAGTAGCTGGGTTTAACTTCTGAGGTTTGCTGTGTTTTATCAGYGAGATTGCATGAGAAGTTCTTGCATCCTCAACACTTTGAATCTATACTCACTTGCTTCCTTAACAATAAATTAAATCCTACACATCAAACTCAGAAAACAGACCATGAGATTAGTGCCTATAAATCACCACTACTATGGTCAGACCTATACAGAAGCTATGAGTGCAGACACACTAAATAACTGCCCCAACCAAAGCCTCAAGGGACACAATTAAAATTAAACTAAATAAAGTTGAATACAATTAGACAGGGATCATTTACAATACTCAATATCTGAAAATAATTTTTTCACATTCTTGTTCACCCTGAAAAAATGTTTTTGGCCAACAAAGAACATCTCAGAATAGACCTGTTTTAACATGCACTCTAGAACACATCTAAGTTACTCAGGAAAATAACCTTGCCAGAAATCAACTAGGTGTTTTACATTCATATAGTTTATTCTGAAAATTAAAAGGATAAACTAAATTTAACACACTCTCAAATGAACATAAGCAGCTAGTAAAAAAACTTCCACTATTTTATAYAAATTTTGTTGAAACAAAACAACAAAAATAGAAAGCAACATATTACAATTGTTGCCAATTACCAATACAATATACTGAGACTGTGAGCATTCACTATGCATGTACAGTCCAACAACTTGCTGCTTTCAAGAAAATTCTAGACCTTCTTTTTTGAAATACAGGAGATAATAAAAAGTTTTTGAGTGGAAGACTGAAAGTTGTTTTCCACACTAACCCCGCTACAATGTGTGCTCTTACATTTAAAATAAAGTTAATTCTGTATACAGAAACAGAAAATGCTGCATTATGTTGAGGGCCTAATTAATTTGACTTTTTTTTTAGTTTTGGCCTGCCTGGATTTTTTCATTCTGATACACATTTACATGAACAATTACACAAGTCCCAGTGGCTGGAAAGGCCTTAACTTTCATTAAGAAAACTAAATCAAAACCAACTTTATTCATRGAGAATCAACATTTCCTCAATTCCCTGCAAAACTCTCTATTTTAATTAAGTAACCTTAATGATAAGTTTTCTATTGGCATAATTATTCAAATAAAACATATTTGACACCTTCTCCCCATAGGATAGTTTTCTATTCTAGACAATTGTCTTACATCCTAGTTAGAGAAGCACAATTTAGYGCTAAGACCATACAAGTAAACATGTAAAACTATTAGAAATCTCTGTATATTTCCATTTCTTCTTTTTTTTTTTTTTACAAAAAGGTGAGTGTTTCAAAAATGGTAACTACTTGAATGTAAGTTTGATGTACAATTCTACTTACATCTTCAGCTTTTGAACCTTGATCCTGCAAAGACTTTTGTAGCTCTTCCACCTGGGACTGTACTTCCAGWAGTCTCTGATTTACCAATCTAGGAAAGAGACAATATTTGTTTCTCAGAAAAAAAATCAAATTACAAGAGGAAGTCTCAGATTTTTAGTGTCCAGTGTTTTTAGGTCTTCTGCACAAAAAATTCAATACTGTAAATTATTCACAAAAAATCTGAAGCAGTAGTTAGAGCTTACAGCAGTTCCAGAGATTATAACCTGTAGTCATCCAGAACATCTTGATACTCTTCAAGGACAACACAAATGCAYGCAGAAATCATTTCCATATACATGAAAGAAGACCTTTTTAACAGTCCATTTTACTGTGTGAGAGCTGCTACYTTATAGTTTTACACTATTACAGAATCCTGTAAACCTGTAGGTTTGAAGGGATATCCACAGGTTGCCTAGATCCAACCTCCTCCTTAAAGCACTTATGGTAGATTGCTGGGAACCACATCCAGTACCAGTTTTGGATACTTTAAGCACCGAGGTCTAACAGTCTCTGTGGGATYTCATCTAGAGCTCAGATCCATATTCTGTATTTTGTCTGTTGTCTCTTGTCCTTCYACTGATAAGCTCTTGAAAATAGTCCAAATCTGTCTTCTTGCTAMCTTCCCATCAAGTGGATGGAGATCACAGTACAATCTCCTCTATGTCACCCTTTCTTTGGTCTGGACAAACCCAGTACTCAGCTTAATCCCATCTATCATATGCTCCAGTGTCTCTCACCTCAGCAGCATTCTGCTGCACTCTTACACATCCACATWTCTCTTGAACTGGGGAATTGAAAATAACATGGCTATGTCCAGATGTGGTATCAGAAGTACYGATGCGAGGTGAAAAATAGTTTTCCCACCCTGACCACCTGCACCTCAGTGAAGACAGTCCAGATCACAGTCAACTGCAATGTCCCCAGATAAAACATCCTCCTTTGCTGCCCACAAAGGCCCCAGGGCTTTTGCAGCAGAACTGCTATACAGCCAGGGACAGGGCTCCCATCAGTTCATTTCTCTGGACTGTTGAGCTCCTCTGAATAAAAACTTTCCCTTTTGGGATAACAGTCACTCCTCCCAAAGTGGWGCCATTCTCCAACTTGCTGAGAGTAGAGATGTGTAGCTCCTTTCATCAGTGAAGTTGTTAATAAAAGTGATGAACAGCACCGGTCACGGTACTGATGACTGAGGAACTGGTTGCCAGTCAGGTTTCATTTCACTGAAAAAACTACTTCAGACTCAGCTGTYCAATTTCAGTTTAAATTCTGTCCAGCCAATTTACTGCTCACTTTTATTGTCCTTTTATTCAGTTTTTATCTAACCATTCTGAACATAAGGATACCATGGGACATTGTATCAAAGGCGTTGTTAAAGCCAAGGCTTTGCTATCGTCCTCTGTTTCACCATGTTCCATCGTCCTCTTCTTCACATGTGCAGCCATCTCATTGTCAAGACAACTGGATTAGCTAGGCATGATTTGCTCAGAATAAATTCATGTTGACATTTCCCAGTTACTCTCCTGTCCCTCATGTGGCAGGAAACARATTCCAGATGGACTTGCTTTGTGAAATTTCCAGAAACTAAGCTGTGGCTGACTAGTCTCTGTAGTTTCTCATGCTCTTTTTCTTGCCCTTYTTGATTGTGAGTGCAGTATTTACCTTTTTCCAGGCTTCAGGCACCTCCCCAGTTGAAGGGGAAGATGGGGGAAGATTAGATAGAGAATAGAAATTTGGATAGAAAGCAGCCTCACATCACTATCAGCCAAATACTGCAGCATGCTCCAATGCACTCAGTCTGGTCCCATAGATGTGTGTATGTCGACTGGCTCAATCCAGCAGGCTGCCCAGGAACACATTATGCTGGGTTTTAAATATCTACAAAGATAGGGACAACCTCTCTGGTCAATGTACTCTGGTGCTCAGCAAACACCACAGTAAAATGAAAAACCTATGTTCTTACACCGAGATGAAATATARTGTGTTTCAGGCTCCGCCCATTGCCTCTTGCCGTGTTACTGAGCATTCCTGGCAAGAGTGTAGCTCCATCTCCTTTAGATCCTCTCATCAACTCTTTGATAAGATACATTGATAAGTTCTATCCAGGCTACATAGTCTCTATCTCTTGGACTTTTCTCATAGRAAACACTGCAGTGCTGTAATGACATCCTTGTGGCCTTTCACAGGATTGACTACATTAAATCTTTCTTGTCTTGGGAATGTCTGTAGGGAAGCCAATTGAAACAGAGGACAAAATTTCTCACCTGTTTTCTGTCTCCAGTTCATTCTTCCGTAAGTTTGCATCATCAAGAAGGCTCTGCAACAAGGCAATCTTCTCATTGTCAGAACCTTCTTGGTTCAATTTTAACATCTTGTTCTCATGCTGAAGGCGAATGAGTTTCTCCCTAAACACACAGAATAGAATTTTGTAGAAAAAAGAAGGCCAATATCTATAACAAAGAAAACAGTTTACCACAGGAAGTAAAATAACAAAATAAATACCATCTTTTTAAGGGACATGGCCGCAACAACAATCACGTTTTCAATCCCCCAAACACAAACCTAGTTTAAGGAGTTGTAATTGCAGAATGCAGAACACAAGGAAATTACCTGAATCCTCCTATCAAGTCTCAGAGTACAGCTGAACAGATTTACAGGGCAAACACAGACAGCACAAAACTTATTACCTACCAAGTATGAAGAAAGGGTGTAATCTAAGCTGTCACTGATCTACTGCATAAACCTGAGCAAGCAACTACAACCCATAGCCTCTTAGCATAGAATCATAGAATCATTCGAGTTGAAAAGACTCTTAAGGTCATCACGATCCAACATAACCTAGCGCCAAGTCCACCACAGAACCATGTCCCTTAAGCACCATGTCTATACATCTTTTAAACAGCTCCAGGGATGTTGACTCAATCACTTTCCTGGATAGCCTTTTGCAATGCTTGAAAACCCCTTTTGGTGAAAGTTATTACTGGATTAGGACATAGATTCCTAATATCCAATCTGAACCTTCGCTGGAAAAGCTTCAGGAAAAGAGACCAATTCTCACCTCACTAGAATCTCAAGCACAAGGTCCTGCATCTAGCYTATGGCAACCCCCTGTACGAACACTGGCTGGGGGATGGACAAATAAGAGCAGCCCTGTGGGAAGGATTTGGGGGTGCTGTGGGTGAGAGGCTGGACATGACCCGGCCATGGGCACTGCCAGCCCAGAGAGCCAAACGTGTCCTGGGCTGCATCCAAAGCAGCGTGGGCAGCAGGGGAGGGAGGGGATTGAGCCCCTCTGCTCTGCTCTGCTCTGCTGAGACCCCACCTGGAACACTGCACCCAGCTCACGGGGCCCAGAACAGAAGAATGTTGACCACTTGAAGTGAGTCCAGAGGAAGACACTAAGGTGATCACAGGAATGGAGCACCTCTACTGTGAAAACAGGCCAAGAGAGTTGGGGCTGTAAATCAGACTCTAATACCTTAGAGCAGCTTTCCAGTACCTGAAGGAAGCCAAGAAGGGAGCTGGAGAGTGAATTTATACAAGAGCATGGTGCGACATAACAAGGGAGAGTGGCATTAAATGGAAAAAGGGCAGGTTTAGATAAGATATTAAACAGAAATTCTTTACTGTGAGAATTTGGAGGTAATGGCAACAGGAGTTGTGGATGCCCCATTCCAGGTCAGGCTGGATGGGGATTGGAGGAGTTTGGTCTACTGGAAGGTGTTCTTGCCCATGGCTGCAGAGATGGAACAAGATAATCTTTAAGGTCCTTTCCAAACCAAGCTGCTCTATGATTCCACAATTGCTTCCACTGTGCATCTTTCCAGCCACTCTTCTCAAAGCTGYAGCACTGCATGGGTCGTAACCCAAAGGCCAGAATCGGGTCTTGGCAATGCTGAACTCCACACAGCTGTCCTCCATCCACTGATACAGCCCGCTCAAATTCCTCTGCAAAGCCTTCCAACTCTCCAGCGGATCAACACTATTCGTGGTAACCCARAATGTTATTGTATTCCGTATCTATCAAGTGCCCAAAATTGTTACTGTCTCTTCCAGCAGCTGAAAMTGGAACAGTGGCGCAGGGACTGGGGGGTACTCCGGGCTCTTTAAAAGCTGAAGCACTCAGGCAGTCACTCTGCCGGCTTGGCTCACTGTTTTTTGCTACAGTAGCACATAGAAAAGCTGAATTTCACAATCAAAAAACTGTTTCAGAGTGAATTTTGCAACATCTGTCTGCAGCCACTCCCTCAGTGGATCCCACCCACCCCGCCCCCGTGGACTTGCAAGTGTCTAAGTAGCATAGCAGGTCATTAGCCGCCAGTATTGTGGAGGCTTTATTCTGCTTTTTGCTTCTGTCTTCCAGATCAGCAGTCTTATTATTAAAGACTGTTGCAAAGAAAGCTTTAAGTRGATCAGCCTTTTCCTTGCCCTTTACAGCTATGGTTTGCCTTCCATCCAGCAAGGGATGGAGATTCTCCTGAACCTTCATTTAACTGTGAATGCCATTAGAGAAACACTTTTTACTGTCTTTTATTGACAGTTGCCACTTTTACTGACAGTGGCCCTTCTAATTTTCTCGCCGTGTAACTGCAGGTTGACATCCCTGTAGTCCTCCTGAGTGGCTTTGCCCCTTCTACCAAACATTAAGTTACAATCTTTTTTATACTGAGCTCTGGCCAAAGCTCTCTGTGCAGCAAGCCATTATCTGGTCACTGGCTCATTATCTGGTACATGAAGACAGCCTGCTCCTACACCTTTAACAATTCCTTCTTGGCCTCCTAGATTCCTTTATCCTTCAGGACTGACTMCCAAGCAACTTTGTCAACCAAACCTCTGAACAGGCCAAAGTCTGCCCTCTAGAAGTCGAAGCGGAGGTTCTGCTAGCCTCTCTTTAATTCTCGGCAAATCAAAAACTCTCTCACTCAGTGCTTGCTGTGCCTAAGAAAGCCTCCGATCATTGCATCACCCACCAGAGTCCTTTTCTGCTCACAAAACAGTATGTCCACTGGGACATCTTCCCTGGTTGGCTTGCTCAGCAGCTGTGTCAGGAAGTTTTCTTCCACACAGACCAGGAACCTCCTAGATTGATCCTCTTCTGCTGTGCTGCATTTTCAGCAGCCATCTGGTAAGCTGAACTGCTCCCTTAAGAAGGGCCAGCAACCTCAAGACCTTTCCTAGCTGCTTCCAACATACTGCATCCTAGATGAACAGCCTAYAACAGACTCACCAAGATGTCTGCTTTCATCAAGATGTGGCCTTCATCTTGATTCTTACTCAACTCTTTTGGTACCATCATCAAGCTCCAGACAATCAAGACAGGGCGACAACAAGAACCTATTTCTAATATCCAACCCAAACCTTCCCTGACATCCAGGCCATTCCGTTGGGTTCTGTCACTGCTCACAACAGAAAAGAGATGAGTATCTGCCCCTCCTCTTCCTCTCATCTTCCTCTCATGAGAAAGGTAGAGACTACCATGACGTCTTCCCTCAGTCTCCTCATGTCCAGGCTGAACAGACCAAATGACCTCAGCTGCTCTTAAGTAGTTTCCCCTCCAGGCCCTTCCCCATCCTTGTGGCCCTCCTTTGGAGGCTGAGAGCTTTWATGTTCTTCTCATATTGTGGAACTCAAAACTGCAAACAAGGACTCTGCCCCAGGTCAGAGCAGAGAAGAACAATCCCCTCCCTGGCCCAGCTGGCAATGCTGTGCCTGATGCACCCCAGGACTGGGTGGCTCTYCTGGCTGCCAGGGCACTGCTGGCTCATGTTCAACTTGTCACTGACCATTGTAAAGGTTAGTAAAACAAAGCACAAATTAGCTTACTTTATTTCAGGAGTAACGATTTCTGCTGCTAAACTGTCTGAAGGCTCTTGTCTTCCCAGAGGCATCAATCCTGAGYAAGGAAAAGAACACCACTTACTTTCTTTACATGAAAAGAAGTAGACATTGTTCTGGAAGCTTTAGATTACTGCTAGACAATGTAAAATAACACCAAGTCAGGTTACAGCAAGACTTGACAGACAAGCACCGTTTCATTTGGTGAATCATTACTTCTGACTTCATCCATTCTGAAGAAGTAATATAGCAGTTTATTTTCTGATCATTATCTAAGAAATACAAAGCTACACAAGATTACACATAGATATGAACTATAACACATGAAACATCATCAGAAAATATTTCTCTAAAGAAAATTATGTAACTACACAGAAATCAGATACATATTACAAAAATACCCCACTGGAGACAACACTAAAATTTCTGATTGGTTGAAATAACATTTGAAGCTTTTGCCTGCTTATGAATCCATTGAATTGTTGAAGATGTTTTTCACYGCTGATTTTAAAGGAGCTTAAATTTGTTCTGTGCTATATGAAGGCACATTCAATACTCTTCAGAAAACTTCTGTAAACTTTAGAAAAGAGGTATTTAATCTCTCTATTTGTCCTTTACCTGTAGTGGTGAGTTGACCCTCTTGAGCTTGTACACATCTAAGTTCTTCAATAGTTTCTTTCAAAGAATCCCTTTCTGTTCTTAATCTCTGAATTAGTGGAAAGAGAATGAATATCAGTCTTGGCAGTATCAATCTACCTCTAACAGCCTTCAAAATTTTAAAAACAATTTAATGCAACTAGAGATTATTTTCAAATTAAGATGTCTCAACCTATTTCCTAACAGAATAAATCTAAGCATTATATATTCCACAGGAAGAGTAGGCATTTTCTTTTTTTTTTGTTTTTTTTGTTTTTTTTGAGAAGGGTTGCTGATCTTACTGGTTTAAAGACAGCAGGATGTAAGCTTACAAAATCTTGATTTTGTATTATTAGTGAAACATAACTAATATAATAACATTTTATTATGACATGTAACTAATTATTTCACAATAATGACACAAAGCTCTGGTACCAGCTAGTAAACAGTATCCACTGGGCAACTCAGCTGTTTTCCTTTTATTGGGGTGATTCCAACGGAAATGGAAGTCAATTGGGAGATCACTGATTTTTCACTTTACCATGAATCCAAAAATCAGTCAGGAATGATGAACGAGCAGGTGAGTACACAACATAACATTACTTCAACATTTGTCTTTCACCAGGGAGAATGACAGCAGAATTTTCATATTCCATTCCTCCTGTGGGTTAGCTGGCCTTGTCATTCACCAGCATCTTGGCTATGAAAGAAAACTAGTTGCTTAAGATTGGGTCCAMAGAGAACTGACGAACAGGACTGGATCACCTTTGGATCCAGACAGATATGCTATTCAGTAGCATCAGGCAAGTACTCTTTTAATTTGGCAGAAGTACCTGGTAGCACCAAACTTTTGTCCAGAAGGTTGTCAGGCATCATGAAAAACCAAAGAAAATGGCTACCGTGAAATGATCCAAGTTGTAATTTGCTCCAAAATCAGACATGCTCAGTTTTACTAAAAGGTCCCTGTGTAAGTATGGAATTGTGTTGGCTGACAGACAGTATTTAATTTTACTAAYAGCTGATTACCAAATGACAGAATATTTTCCTGACTAGAAAATGCTCTAGGGCTTCACTGGTACAAGCCACTCAAATTATCTTAGTCCTTATCATATAACACACCACAGAGGCAAAATTCCAAGCTACTCTGCTGAAGATATCAAACACTACCATGCTTTGCCASAATACACAGAAAAGGATAAAATCCATTTCAGTACCTACTTCCTGACATACACAAGATACTACTATGTAGCTTGTGACCTGTGGTGGGCTACCTTACTGATACGTGTTCGCATGATGAGAGACTGCTACCTGTAATTTACTTCTCACAGGTGCATATCCATTCAAAAGAATGCAYTTGAAAACAACATCTAGCACAAAAAATTGCTATTTGCCAGGGGGTAAAACAGAAAGCTATATGACAATGGCCTGCAATTCAGATCCTTTGTGCAAGATGAAATGGTCCACTGAGCCACGGATAAGCCACAGAAACAACCTTACCATTGTTAAACACAAAATAACTGGGAAAAAAACATTAAAAATAAAAAGCAGGAAAAAAAGCCAAAGCACAATACCAATACAGTTACTATAAACATTCCAGCCTGAATTGAAGGGCAGATGGAAATGACATGAAGGTCAAGTGTCCACTGCAGCTTGAAAATTTAATAAAACATGTAAATCAATGACCTATGAACATAAAATAACTGAAATATTTCAGTTTAAATCATATTTAAATGCTGGGCTTGGAAATCTTGGAAATAACTGGACATGAAATATGACTATTGAAGAAAAAGCCTAGAATTTCCAGCAGTCAGATCAATGGACTTATAGTTAAAACATGCCTAAGAAACTTCTAGCATCAATTGATGACCTCGATTTTAGGTAGTTTGAGGTACCTGCATATACATTCCTAAGAAACAAGTTGAAATTAACTGTCGAGAAATGACAGTGTGCAAGAGAAGTCTGAAGGATCAGTCTCAGCAAGACAGGACAGAGTAATTAATTGTAGAACCACCAGAAAATGACACTTGGGGAAGGGGATAGATTGGTATCTACCCTGTGTGTTTCACATCGGCAGTATAAGCTAGGTCAACAAGAAGCTGTCATAAAAGGTGAGATCACCACTAAGGACATTTCCCTCTACACAACTACTAAGCCTCTTGCTAYGTAAGTCATGACTCCACAAAGAGAAGCGTGCTGATGGTACCTCAAAGAATGCCTTAGGATGATACTGCAGAAACCCTGCTGTAAATAGCTTTTCAGAATATCTAAAAATTACCCTGGGTATTTATTAACCTTCTCAGGGTAAATYGTTAGGAAACAACTTCAAATGGCAAATATGAAAGCTTTTCCTCTTAAAAATGGTTGCAGGTCTTTTTGTACAGTCACTTTATTCCATGCTGTACAATTCTGAGGTTTAAAAAGTATCTCGTACTCAAACGTCAGAAAATTTTAGATGAAAAAAGACTTCCTAATTAAAAAAAATTGCTAACTAAAATTACCATATCTCTGTGTTATGAAGGATACAAAGTTGCTGTTATTACTAACAGAAAAACAACACCTTGGCACTTACATCTTTTTCTTTTTGGAGGCTGTCTACTTTTTCTTTCAGTCGTTTGCATTCATAATCTAATTTATCAGCTTTCTTGGATTCTTCAGATAACCTGTTTTGTAGTTCAACTGCCTGTGAGAACAAGAATCAATAACGTGTCTGCAAATATTGAAACAAAATACACAAGACAAAGTAGCCAATTACAATGCACCACAAGTCATGTCGTAAACAAGTGAAATTGTTACTTATAGGACATGCTAAAAACTGCTTTCATCAGTTGTTCTGAGTTTCAGCAAAATAAAAAGCATTCAAATATTAGGTCTCAGTACAAGCAAAAGATAGAAAAAATGTGAAGTATTTTCAGTACATCTACAACACAAATTTACGCCAAAGCAAGGTTTACTGAGAAAAAGCTATGTAGTTCTAGGAATCAAAAAGCTTAGGAACAGCAGAAGAATCTTTCTGCATTCTAAAAARCCTAGTTAAAAGAAAAAACTCTGAAGACAGCCAATTATCTTTAACTTTATTTCATAAGCTCACTCAAAATTCAACTACCAGTTCATACAGCCAGGCATCATTCCTTAACYTGAGATGTCCTAGTAATTTTTAACACACTAATATAAAGATTCAGCTACAGGCTCATAAGCAGTTTTCTTTATTTTGGAGAGAAATATTGCTAACAAAGCCACATGTATGCTTTCAACTACAGATCAGTAAAGTGCTCTTAAAACTAAGTGAGCAGAAATCTGAAAGCTGAGCACAACAGAAGGTGAAGCATGGCTTTTTCAAAACTCTCAGCCTTTACTAGCAAAGATTCATTTCCAGAACACTAGTAAAGCTCATATATAGAGAACATGGAAGCAAATAAGCTAAATAAAGACTGACCAGCAAACACAAAAGCTGAATGACGACTCAGCTAAAGACCTACAGCTTCTTCTAAAACAATTTATAAGAAGGCTTTTTCATGGCTTTTAGATTACAAAGGAAGTGATTAAAACAGTAGCCATACCTACATTAAGATTGCCTGCTGGTTCTAACTGCCTTTTATTTACAATGTGAACAATTATAGCAAAATAACTACAAGGCCTAAAATATGTATGGTCTTAGAAAAGAACTTTGCTGCTGTTGTTCTTAAATTAAAGACTGCAAAACCAGCAGGCCTGCATTTTCTGAGATTAAAGAAATAAAAATGTTAGATATGAAAATATTTCATTTTTCAGATGTGACATCTATGACTGCAGCTATCAGAATAACTGTAATATAAAAAAAAAAATCAGGCCTTCACCACTGACTGGGCCATCACTTGCAAAATATGAGAATTTTCATCTCAAAYGGAAACAGATGCATTCACATTTGCAATCAATCATGCTAAGGTAATGGTATGTAGRAAAACACAGCAAGAAATAAATTTGTCTTGAATTAGGATTTGCGGGTGTATAGGAAAACATAGTTTCATGGTAATAMAGAAGATTAGAAAAAATGAACAGCCATCACATTTACTAAGCATTATCAGTGTGTGGAATGAGTAAAGCAGGAATCTCGCAACAAAGAAAAGCAAGACATACTATTAACTATGTATCAGAAGGCACATGCACAAAGGGGCTGAATTAATATTACAGAATAAATTGTCCTGCAATGTTCACATTTCAATTCTTTATGCTGAAATAAAGTTTATTAGAAAAGGCTTGTGCTTGCTTTCCGAAGTGTGAAAACAGAACACYACCACTCAACCTCACCTCACAAAGATTGCTCTGTGCAGTGAAGATGCAATTTCCTTGCAATTTACTATATGAGTTTGAATCAAGCACTTTCATTTGCAAAGCACAATGCTTCTAAGCCAAAGAACTCTCTAATGGCATCCTCATGAGTGGAGTTAGATCCTTCAAACACCAGACAAGACATATCCCACTATAAGAGCACACTAGCACTCAGCAGTGTCATAAYATCAGAATCTTTATATTTGGCTTACTTCTGATAGCACAGTTTAGGATTCCCATAAAAATAATTTTGTGGCTTATGAGTCACAGGCAGGTCTCAAAATGAGCCCAGTCTTACAGACACTGAAGATAAACACACTGAGTGTTCATTTTGAGACACCATGGTTAGGTGAATAAAATACATCCACCACGAGACACCTAAGGCTTATTCCAGTCTCAGACAGTAAACAGTTTTGCACCGACCAACAGCTCCTCATACAGGAAATCCTACCCATAAATACAGGGAATAATGAAGAAAAGAAATACTTCAGCAGCACAAATAATAGGATTGGCCCTTCCAAAATCTTTTTGGTGGGTGAAATAAGAAGAATCAAATGCAGATGTTGAGGTTATGCAACAATATCACATGCTCAGCTGYTTAACAGCGTGAAATATTGGATTGCCAGTAAACTGGATACTACTCAAGTGTGGAAGGCCATTCCTTTCTACATTCACTTTTCCCTTTGTGCCCACAGAATCTTTTTTTTCTTTCTTTCTAGTRAAATCATTTGGGTGTATTTAAAATTAGCCCACAAAGGCTGAAACTGGTTGTCTTAAGCACTAAGATGATCAAGTGCAGGGAAAAAATCTATCAAGTCTTAGGGAGGCACATTGCTCCTCGGCTTGCAATACTGTTAGTGCTTGTTTCTGTAATTTATTCTACTGCAAACTGACATACAGTCAGGGACCCCTGTGCTGCGCAGAAATACAGAGCAGGCACCACTACTTTAATGAACCAGGCTCTGTCTGACCCTGTAACAAGAATGCCAGAATGACATCATGTCCCTGTAGCACAGAAGCAGAGAGAAAATTAAGCACATCTTCCACCTTTACAGAAACAGCACCACATGACACTTGAATAAGCAAAAGGATAAACAGGTGCCTTTCACTCCAGGGAGTGTGCTGGTGACACATTTTGTACTCCACTGGGTGCCTATAAACAACAAGGATGATGTGTTGTGTCCTTCCCTCTTCTGAACTGGAAAAATTCAGATGTATCAGACAAATTAGAACCTTAAAAAAGGGGCTACTTAACCACAGGAATAACTTAGCTCAGCTGTGGTATGTTCCTCACTTCTGGAAAATTGTAAATGAAAAGTGGATACTTTTTCTAAAAGGAGAAGCTCTAATTCAAGTCCTTGAATATGAATTTGGAGTAATTTCAGAAAAAAAAAAACCAAAAAACAAAAAACTTGACATCTTTGAGTTTTTAAATGCAAGAAATACTGCTTTTTGACCAAGTAACATAAACTTGTAGTAGTGACAAGAATTGCAGGAAAGAAGGACAAAGGTAGCACCTACAAAACACGGAAGTTCTCCAAAAAGGAGTTTCCTTTTCCACAGTCTCTTTTTTTTACTTTGAGGTATTAGCCGTTTTATGAAGATGAGGTGTTGAACAATACAGTGTACTGTAGTATTGACGATATCTGTCCTCACCTGTCTCTTGTACGTTTCCAGCTGACTGCGTGCTGCATTGGCTTTCCTTAGTTCTTCCTCCAGGCTCACGGTATTTTGCATGTACATTGTGTTCTTCTCTTCTAAAAGCTTCACTTGCCGCCGCAAATCACCCAGATCCTCCAATTTCTTTTTGTAYGACTCTACCTGGCTTTCTAACTTGGCTACTTTATCAGAAGAATGCCTGAAGGAACAGATTTGTATCAAATTTGAACTCTGAAGACTAACAAAATGAACAGAATTTAAAATGCTTCTTTATCCTTTTTTCTTAATACAGAAGACATTCTAAGACAACATGCAGAGAACAATAAAGCAATCATATCCTCCTATTACTGATGTTTTCGCTTTTAAACTGTCTRTTTTCTTCCCATAATTATTTGTCAACTCTAAAAGCTGCTGCTGAAGGCTCTGTAAGACCCTATCCCCCTTCCTAACACAAATTTGTTATCTGCTTCCAATCTTAAAATAATGGTTAAAACAACCTCACTCCTACCCATTTCCTTTAAATTCTAAATCATCTTCAGTCCTAAATTTTTCAAGGATAAAGAAGACAATACYCTCCATTTTCATGATAGCCAGGAATAAAGTCATAAAGATCCATGTCCTAGGCAAATTACACTTGATGACACAGAAGAGCCATAATAGTTTTGAAACTTGATTCCTTCTAAAAAAAAGAGGAAAAATGAAACACAAGGCTTCATTCACAGCTTTTCAGCGGTTTATCAATCCACTTGCTGCAATACCATGATAGCAATGGACCTCACCTCCCACAATGATCTCTGCTACTATTACTGTCCTCGCTTTCATTTTAGAATCAAACAAATTACAGACGTAACTTCCTGTAAAATCCAGGGAATTTCCCACTGAATTGATGGGTCAGTTTACTGGACACTGAGGCAAACCAAYTCTGCTTAATCCTCAGTGAGGGACAGGACCTTTCTCGGGACAAGGAATTGCACTCTGAACCCATGCCACCCACAGTTATGTTTAYGCAGCCTGAGAGGTTCATTCCTTATATTAATGACAAAAAGGATAAAGACAGACAGTTTTGGTAGAAGGTTGGTGAGTCAGGAATGGCAGTATTAAATAATGCTGGCTGGAGAGAATGAGTAACTGTTCTGAACAACCCRTGACAGCAAGGTGCCAATACTGAAGGGCTACGTTCCATAGTGAGAGTGGCTATCCCACCCTACAAACCCGTAGTATCATCAAATCATGACAACTTTTGTTGCTAAAATCCAGTGGCAATGAAAGCTGCAACAGATGCTGTTCATATTGACATTATATGCTAAACCAAAAGCACCACCCAAAGTCCAAACAATGCAAATGCAGGAAAGCAAATGGCTTAGTTTCCTTATGAGAACAGATACCCAAGATATAATGAAGGTGAATATTGCATATTCAAGAGATCAATGAGTGATCTTTTATAACCATAAATTGGCACGGAATTACCAAATTTACTAATAGTTATTGATTAGGTACACAATAGCAACAATTATACTCAAGCAGAGTTGGATGCTGGTCTGTGCACATAAGAAGAACCTTGGCATTGAAGAAGTGTTTAACGTTTTAATTATTTAAACAAAAGATAATGTAGATTAAGTACACAAATCACATAGATTAGAAGTTAATAGTTAAAAAAAGGGTTAATGGAAAAAAATTTACCTGAGTACATCTATCTCATCCTTCAGAGACTGAGCCTCCTCTGCCAATGTAGTAAGCTCTTCTGTTTGTTGTCTCAATTCGGCAATTTCCTTTTCTAGTTCTTCACAGCGTATTCGATAGTCATCTTTGGCAGCTTCTAATCTGTAGGAATGAAAAAAACGCAGAAAGCAATTTCTTATCATGAGCCACAGTTATCTTTCCTCATCATCATCCCCTCGAAGAACGCACAAAATGGACTTCTACTGCAGTGAAGGTAAGAAACAGCCCAACGTGCTTATTCAAAATGCAAAAGCAGATTGACTTTATTGATGCTCCCAATTTAGTATCAGTCTTKCAGTCTGAAAATTCACCAGATAGTACACATTCTCATAAAGACAAATACTGAGGGATCTTCTATAACAGTAGTTTACAACAATGGAAGCTCAAGCAGAAATTTTCACTTTCTCATGTTTTGATACATAGAGTTTGAAAATGATATCTTTATTCTAAGATTTTGTTCAGCAGTCCAACCCATCTACACCTCCAACATACTGACCTGATTGATGTTATATATTGCGTGATGCCATAGACCTCTCACCAAAGTTGCTTTATTTATTGACTCATAAAGAATCTGTGCATGCCCAGTATGTCTGAAGAGCCAAGTTATTTAGTTAGCAAGTAAAGAACTCCAACCAGTTGTTGGAGTGAACTGCTTGCCTACAGCATACACAGGCAAAGCTTCATTAATGGGGCAGGGAACAAAGGGAATAGAAACTTTGTTCTATTGAATGAATGGAAGAGGACACAAGCAGGAACACAGTGTCCTACTGTGATTCTGCTCTGAAATTAAAACAAAATTCAACCAGAACAAGAGATAACGACATGAGGGGAAAAAAAAAAAATCACTCAAAGAGTCCAAAAATAATCTACATGAATGGAGACAGGAGGAAGTCTTTAAGTCATCTAAACCAGAAACAACAAAGATTAGGACTGTGACAGACCAGAACTGTCATAGGACAAAGAGGCAAGACTAGGAGGAAAACTGATGTATCAGACTGGGCACCAGCTAAGCTGTACATCTGTCCTGCTTGGTCAGGTAGAGCTGCAAGCAACACATACAAATCACCATTTGAAATCATATGCTATGACGAGAGAGGAAGGGAAGGAGGTAAAGGAGACTGGGAATGAGTCTCAAATGTGAAAAGGGTTTAGAGTGACCTTCAGARCCTTAAACTAGAGTTTCAGGTAGTGCAGATACTGAACTTGGGGACAAAATCTGTTCAAATGGTAATTGATAGCAGACTCAGGTGGGAATCATTGCAGAACATGGAGACAAATCAGAAGAGATAAAATAGGTCATTATCACTATGTTATTCCTTTACATGGTACATGTATAAAAAGAAGAAATCCAGGCTCCAGCTCTTGTGAAGAGAAACACTGAATGTTTTTCAAGAAACTGATGGGAGATGATAGGTCAGAATAAGAAGGAAAGGCGGCTAATCAAGAGGAATTGGAAAAATGGCAAAACAGACGAAAATRGAAAGTAACATGGCACATATTGAAAGAATTGGAAAAGGGCAATGACAGGAAGACAGCAAAAGAAAAACTGGCACTGTAAAGAAATACAATAATTTCACTCACAAAGGAGAYGGAAAGTATGGCAAAGAGAATGAAAAGGTGATGGTGAATGAGCTTTCTTCATCACAATAGGCTTACATAGCCTGAAAGGAACAATCAAAAGAACCAGGAAGGAYATGTAAAGAGGAACTGTAATTTCACATATTGAGGAAATGGAAATGAAGTGCAGACCTCATATGCGGATAATCTCCATCTTCCATCATCTATGRAATCTGTTTCCAAATTCAGAGAAGGACATATTTTGCTATGTATATAATGCCACTRGCAGTTAGGCCTGTAGCAAACTTCCATCTAGGAATTACTACATCTTAAAAATACAACCAGAATAATTTGCATAAAGGAAAGCATTCCACTTTTCATTCTCRCTGACTTTGGAAAACATGGATGAAGTGACTGTGCACAAATAATTCAAAGTAACTCACAGTAGAGTGACATATAAGGCATTTCAGCATTAAGAAATCGTACTTTTAATAACGGTGGAGCCTGTAAAGAGCAAAATTATAACATCACTTCAAAAATCATACTACTGCAGATACACACTAGCCATTRTCCTAATTCATATTTGCCAGCAGAACCACAAGTATCTAAGTCACCTCTACTGCCAGCTACAAACAAACAATATAACCAAGTGTAGCTTTTCTACCTGAATGTTTCCTCTTGGAGCTGTTCTAATTGTGTCTGCAGCTGCAGGTGTCTACGACCTGCAGGACTGTTGGGATCTTCAATAGAATCAGATTGATTTAAACGTTCCATCAAAATCTGGTTCTCGGCAAGCAGGCTGCTCTTCTCCTCTTGGAGCGCTGCAACCTGTTGTAATAAAAGTATGAATAGGAATAACTAACCTACCCAGATACACAGAGCAGTACTTTTTCCCTTTCCACAATGAAATATTAACACAGGCCACAAACAGACACACGCAAGCTTCATGAATCACATTTCACAAGAATACATTGTATCATTAAGTAGGAATTCAATTGCTAAGTTATGTAACCAAGGTATTGCAATATTAGCGCAGTTATCACTTAGGGAATCTAATTATTCTTTGATCTATTTTGCACAAGGATTTAAAGCAAGTCTTTTTTATGACAGAAGATAATTTCATTATAATAMAATTGCATACTTTACCCACAAATAAATAAAACCAGCCCTCCACAGKAAGGGCCATGTGCAAGAAGGCCTGAAACAGTGATGCAGTCTCAAAGATGACTCTGTTTCCACTAACACTGTGAAAACAGGCAGTAGCGCAAAAAACCCAAAGTGCTCCAACAACTGAAACATGGGTTCATACATTAAACATGACACACAGATCAGCTTTATTAATTCCAACAGTTACTGCACTGCAAAAAGCCTGAGTTAAAACTCCAAAGWAAGGTTGCAACAGTAATGCCTTTTAGGGTTCCCCCTTACACTTCTCACATCTTCCCGATGAGTATAACTGACTTACAGTAAGACTCAGTCTAAACACATACACATCTAATGGTCTACACCAACTTCTGACTAGGCTTTAACTCATAACTGGAACTGTCACAGCAGCAGAATTTGTATTAGTTTTCTATAGCAAGAGTTTTATCACACAACTGAAACCATTCCTACCTGAATGAAAAAAGGTTTTGCTAGTAAGAATCATTCTAATACTAGCCAACACGACAACAAGAGAAGAAAACAATGACATTAATTCTGCCACCACAAGTGAAAACAAAATAATTACTGTGTCATTTTCACCTCCCTTCTAAAAATTACGTTTCCATACTATACTATTTATTTTCAGCCACCTAAAATTTAACACATCTTTTGCTCACTTCAAAATTGATACAGACACTATAGCAAACTTACCTGCATGTCTAACTCATGACATCTCTGGGCAATTTCTTCTTTTGTTGCAAGTGCTTCATTTAATTCTTCTGTAGTTTTCTTCAGCTACCATAAACAACAAACATTTACATTCCCATCACTCTCCATGATTCATTTAAAAATATTCTGAACTACATGTCTGTAAAATTATTTTTACATTCAGGTAATACATTAATACATTTAAAAACTAAGTAATTCTGCTCTTATAAAGAAAAAAAGAAGCAGATGTGAAAACTGTTTAGTTCGTGTATTAGTAAAAAGTAAATGTACCAGAAATTAATATTTGCTCTTACATTAGAATTGTTACATCTATTCTATAAACTGAATCAAAAACTCTTGAAGAACTTGGGCCTGAAGAACTCATCAAATCTGCACACTGAAAAAAACTGTCAATACCACTTTTCTTTATAGATTCAGAGAGTGAATAATTTCAATTTTCAATCTACTTTTGAACTATGGGAAGGACTGGAAGGTGGAATACAGGGAATGGACAATTAGGGTAAAACCTCTCTTGTTACTGGAAGCTACTTTTAGTGCACAACAGGAGTAAAACTCACATGCTGACAGAAAAGCCAACCCTTCTGAAAAAGGGCACTGAATCTTGTAAGCAGTGGGAAATACTCAAGATACTTCCTTTCAAAGGCTCCATGTTTAAAGATATGTATCTCAACTAGTTTGCAATTGAATGCAGTTAAGGTAACAYAAAAACATAGCTACAGGAAATTTGGTCTGATAAAATAGGAGCATCCATGTTACATATATAGATACATGTGTATTATTATATATAATGAAGTTTAAATGGGCTTTCTCAAACAGCATCATCATCCTTGCATTTGCAAGTTTATTTCTCAAATACATATGTTTACATACAAAAATTAGTTTCATCTGCCAGCATTTCCAGATTTCTGCAGAGAAAGCATGATGGAGGAATACAATGAAYCCCACTTTACTATTCTTTTCTCAATTAGAAAAAAAAATGAGGAAGCAAGACAGTGTTAGCATGAGGATAAGCTAGTAAAAAAATTGGTTTGTTTATTTTTTAAATATATCAGACCAGGAAGGATTATATTTGAAAACTTTTCTTCTATATTGCAGCAGTTTCAGGATTTCCATAGAAGTAGGGTAATKTTTAAAACTGACTTAGGAAGTAGGAACTCACATACAAATATTTATTCAAATACTACATATTCTTTATYTTTCTCTCACCATACCTAAAGATTTGTAATTATCTGCAGTTTTGMTTTATTATTCCATATAGCTAGACTGATTTTTCAAACCAACTTTTTAATCTTCTTTACACATATGACAGGAGAAAATGCAATTTATAAAGCTAAAGGACTTGAAATAGTAACATTTAGTTTTCCACTTTACTTTTCCACAAAACTCTTTAATGATTAAGAGAAAAAAAAAAAAAAAAAGAAGACAGATCTCTTAATATGGAAAAAAAGACTGGCCACTGATGTGCTATGATTGAAGGAAAAGAAACATCTAGTCTTAGATACCTGCCGATCAAGGTCAACGTAAGCATCATTTCCAACAGAGACTGGAGACTCTTTACTCATCAACTGCAATTAGATTACACTGGATTAGAAAAAGCAAAGATTTATTTTTATATTAAAACGTAAACTTCAATGAAATACTGAGCTGATTTTTAGGAGCTGACTTTTGGGAGTTTTAATCTGAATTAATTTGAAAGTTTTTAACTTCATTTTTATACATGAGATATTCAGAAACAAGAACAAAAAAAATCTTCATAATTAGTAATATTTAGAGYACTATAAAAGAAACCTTACACCATCTCTTTTTCTTCTGACAATGCACATTCTTTATCTATGATGAAGCCTACAGTACATCCCACTAATTTTTTTACTGTAATGGCATTGGAATGATARTAGATGTCAACATACTTTGCAAGACCTTTAATTTTTCTCTGCTAGTGAGTGGTTTTCATGYTTGCATTGCCTGGTTGTTAAAATCTATTTACTTATTTATTTATTTATTTCACTAAGTCCCAGGGCATATCTCTCTCAACTAATGGTGCAAACTAAAAATTATTAAAATTCTGCTCCGGAGTTGTCTGTAATTTTGAAATTTCAAAAGAAACTCTGTAGAGCACACTCCTGACAGGAGTATTACAATTCCTTGTGTACTGTTTTAATGCAGAAATAGCTGATAGTGGTTTTGACCAAGAATATTTTAAAAAACTCAAAACCAATAAACCACATGAAAAAAGAACCCCAACCAAACCCTCAAATCAAATCCTATGAAACTGGCTGATGTGCTTATTAAAAGAAAGAAAAAAAGCTGGTAAGTGTTCTTTCAGTAACATAATAATCAGCTGCACAGGCTGGTAAAAGTGAAATCAAGTGTAGCAGAAATTGTAGCTCAGCAACCTTCTCCCACATACCTCAAGCAAAGATACTAAGGTAATGTTATTACTAAAAATTGTAAGACACAAACATGATCAGTCTTCTCAATCCTGTCTGTTTACATCACTGTGTACAAGTGAAAAATCCCTGTTTGACATTTACAAACATACATGCTTACATTTCTCTCACTTTCCCCATTTCCTTAATTGGTATTTAGCTGCATAATTTATATCAATCTCTCTCCTGAGCACTCCTCCTCAAGCCCTGACAGTGTTTGCCAAATTTCTCCTATTTTGTCTACACCTTTACAATGACAAAATCAAGCCCATATTCTCCGTAACAATAATTAGAAAGTCCCTAGCTCAGAGCTGTCTSCTGAAAAATAAAGTCTTGTCTTTCTGATTACCATGTATAATGGCATTACAAACTTGTTTTCAGTTTAGGGCCCTGTTTCTTAGCATGATTGTCATTTAAATAAAATCTTCCAATCCCTCCCTGCTCTGTGATAYTCACACACACACTTCAATTAGTGCATTTCAACAGCTTTTGCAGATGACTAACAGGGATATCTCATATTAATCAAATACTGAACTCCTCTCACTATTTTATACTCCACAATGCTGTTCACAGACACTCTGGACACATGTGCTCACAAACACACAAGTTCTTGCTATGGTAGCACAGTCCAATGAGCAGGTGCCACGTGTATGCAGCTCACAAGGGTGTACATGTCCCTAACTGCCACCACCCTTTTCTGGCCCTAACACAACTTCCTCTTTGAAAAAACAGCTCGAAAAACCTGTCCAAGACTTACAGTAAAAGGAATACAAGTGACCACACAACCCACTAGAGGCCACTGTGGTGTCATTGCTTTCTGTGACTTGCCATACAGCAGGCCAAGGCCAATAATAAAATCCCTATTTTCTTAAATGAGTTTTATCATCTCTTCCAAAATGTCTTGTTTTTGAGAAACCTTAGCAGACATTTCCAGAGAAGAAGACATCATCTGGAAYAGGATTAGGAAGTGGAGATACATAGTCTTGGTATACCATGAATGCTACACAGCACTTACAAATTTCAGTCCACAAGGTACAAWAAGAATGTAATTTCAAGTGTGAATAAGGCGCCAAGGGCAAGAGCCATAGATACATGTGCAGATGACTGATGCAATGCAACAAAAAGCACCTTGCAATTGGATGGTCTGTGGTATGGAAGGAATGCTACATACAAAATTTAAACTGTTTTGTGTCGACTATCACMATCAGCAAAGAACAGGAATGAGATTGCTAGGTAACTCAAAAGAACACAGGAAGCTAACTTCTGATCATCAGTTAACAATAAAACAAAGTTAAGAAGTCAGGATGCAAGATAGAATTACCACAGCAAAGGAGTGCTTCCATCTTTTCCCTACATGTCTCTCCACATACTGTGAAGCACAATAGTTAATGCAAAAACATGTCTTGGCCATGCTCTGCCTGTGCATGGCTTCTTCCYACTTAAAACAAAAACTTTACCATAAATAGCACAGCCAATAGAGCACAACCCCACCCACCTTCCCAAACTTCTCTCTCTTCAGTGAGATTTTCTGAAAATTTCAAGGCAAGTTTTACTGAATGCTATTTTAGGATTCACTGCAGACAGGTACGTCAACTTGAAACACACACTACACTTTCCATCCACCTAAAAAATAAAAGGTAAAAGGCTGGCCTAGTTTCCTCTATTGTTCACTTTGTTTCTGGTCAATCAGCATTCTTTGATACTACAGAAATTTAGAGCTGCAAAACGGTCATTTAATCAGCGACCTGCTCAATGGCTCATCAGCTCTTTCTGCACTATTTATTACTAATGCTACAATACTAGTAGATTGTCAATAATTTTTAAAGCAAATTTCTTTACTGTTTTCTGCTGTTTGTCTCCTTTACTTAAAGGCTCACATTCAGAAAAAATAAATTAAATACTGACATAGTATTTATGCTTCACATACATACTTCACATACAACATGCCAGTGTGATATTAGAATGTGTGGTTTTGAGAGGTATGAATCAATGGCAATACTTTTGAGGTTAGAGGGGCAAACTTTATTTAATTTGTATTCCAAATGAAAAAGAATAAAAAGCAGAAGTGGCCTTCTCATTTTCCCTTCACATCTGTAAGTTTTATTTTTAAAGGACCAGACTACAAGGGKAATAAAGGTTTACTTCCACAGTTTTACAGCAGTGGAATTTGCCTTCATTTCCAAACTCATCGTTTAGCTTTAGTATTATCACCTATTTTCACATGTAACTTCAACAGAGGATGATGTGCAGAGATTCTAAAAAGGGAAATTAAAAAAATGTCCACAAATTCAAGCAATTATGCATTATGCTTCTACAGGACACAAAATGCATGTTTAAGAGCCTCCCACAGTGAAATAAACAAGTAACTAGCATTTACAGCTTCGTTATTCTTCTGGTTTGTTTTGCACAGAGGTCAGTCTGGGTTTTAAATGGGGTAATAACCTGGACAACATGATTATTCTTACATTATTTTTGTAGTTTTATGAGAAGCAGTTGTCTTTCCCTATTAATCCTTTACATCTATATTTTTCCATGCTAATAGCTTCAGCATGATATCTTACATAACACTTACATGTCTGCTAATCCTATATTATTAAAACTTCCATTTTTTAACTGCTTTCATTGTGAAATGTGAACAAGCTGTGTTGTCATGGATACATAAAGATTAGGGAAGGTGTAAAATGATCAGAAAACCTGCATGCATGAATAACCTGAATTATGAAAGCTTTTTTCCCCCTATACRCGATTTTGCAAACACAGCTGCTCTATTTTGTTGATGATTTTAAAGTCTAAAACATTCACTTTATCTGAAACGCTTCTACGTAATATTTAATATTATGTAAGAGTACGTAATATTTACAAGCTCACTTAAGCGCCCTCAAAACAATATCAAAACCTAGCTTCTTTACTCAGTGTTTTTTTTCTTTTTTAAAACATCTTTATGTCAATTTTTATGAGTAAARGCTATGTATGACACTGTATATTATTTAAAGCAACTGGACTTCCTTCTTCCAGTTGACACCCAGTTTATCCTCCAGGCTATCTGCTGATAGACCCAACAAAATGCTACTATATAATTTTCCAACTATTTAAAAATAATTTTACTTCAGACAAGATAAACCTTTAAACAACCAGGACAACATACAGGAGGGAAAAACCCCACAAAACCAAAAGTGGAAGTAATACAGTCGGCATTATCACAGGCAAGTAAACACCTTCTCCTATGCATCCCAGAAAGTTTTGACACTGCTTCTGGCACCATTCTGACTCTTGACTTGCACAGAGAGCAGCTAAGTGATTAAGTGTAGAGATATTCTAAACAACAAAGGCCAACTATTTGTTTACCTCAGCTACCACCTTCATCAATAATGGACTTGGCTATTCCAGGATGAGACTTGGGAAAATGACAGCAGAATTCCAAAGAAAGGGA